GAAAGACAAAATATCGAAAGACAAAACATCGAAAAGGCAAAATATCGAACGCAGAATATCGAAAAGACAAAATATCGAACGCAAAATATCGAACAGACGAAATATCGAAAGACAAAATATCGAAAAGGCAAAATATGGAACGCAGAATATCGAAAAGACAAAATATCGAACGCAGAATATCGAAAAGACAAAATATCGAACGCAAAATATCGAACAGACAAAATATTGAACAGACAAAATATCGAACGCAAAATATCGAAAAGGCAGAATATCGAACGCAGAATATCGAAAAGGCAGAATATCGAACGCAAAATATCGAAATGACAAAATAACGAACGCAAAGCGTCGAAAAGGTAAAATATCGACTTGAAATGGCCCTCTGCGGACTCCTTAGAGCTCTGTCGAACTCTGTCGAAATTAGGTTTCGCTCGACAGATCTTCCGGGGCTATCAAACACAGACGGATCCAACCCAGAGTTTTCGGAGGGTCTTGGAGGGTCTCAAATCAACGCAGGCAGGTGTCAGGGGACATGCTGGCCTCTAAGGGCTCCGCAAAGAGTTCAGATTCAGAGGGCACTCAGAACGACCTTTGTGGGCCCTACGAAGGTCTCCGAGAGCTCACGCAGACTCCTGGAACTCCACACTGATTCTCAGGCCAAATGTCGGCTTGTTAAATCACTTTATCCGCTCTTGGTTCCCCTTTCGCCGGCCTCTGAGAGTCCCAACGCCGGAACTTATGGAGCCATGGACCCTACACCGCTTTTAGGGCCCCTACATCGACTCTTGGGACTCATGACTCATTATATATGGGTCTAAGCGGCTTCTAAGAATCCCCATGCAGGTTCTAGTAGCCGCCAGTCGAATATTTGGGCTCACACGCTAGCTCCCACCTCGCTATCGCACGGGGTCCCACCCCGTGCACGCTCCAGGGGCCTACCTGCCTCTAAGACCCCACACATACTTTTGGGGCCCCAAACGCTTGCTCCTGAAGGCCCCACTGAGACTCCTAGTCCTTTCCTCTATTCAGTCCTCCATACTGGCTCTTTAGGCTAAACATCGGCTCCTGGTGGCCATCCCGGCTTTGGAGGGTCTCCATTGGGTCCGATGTCAGTCTCTGAGAGCCATCAAAAGCCTTTCGAGCCTACGAGTATACTGCTTTCTGAAACCCTTCAGCAACTTCTGAGGGACCGACCCTGGTCGGAGGGCTCATTTGGTCTGGGGAGTCATGTAGGTCTCTGGAGGAGCCTCTAAGGGGTCGGTTTCCAAGGGGCTTTTAAATACGGTCTTCTAAGAACGGTCTCGTAGGGCCTTTAATGGTCCACTGCGGATCCAGAAAAGTGGGTTGAGATGCTGAGGGTGGTGGCTAGACTAAAACAAGATTAGATGATAAAAACTAGCTGCATTTGCTTCGTTATGCTTTATTTGAGATAGGTACACTGTAATTTCAAATATTTTGCAGAAATTGTGTGTTTGGGGATGGTTTTCCAAAATCTTCGTTTTTCATAAAGCAATGATAATCACTCTAAAAATATCGGGGGGGGGGGGCGAAACTTACAGAGGGGCCCCTTGAGAAAACTTTGCACCCCCATCCGAAATTACCTTCCGCCGCCACTGCTGAGATCTACAAAAAATATCAGAGTTTTCCAAGTCTGTCATGGACCCGCTGATTGCTCTTTGCGGCCTACAGATAACAGAGGGCCCGATGAGTTCGACAGAGCTCTAAGGAGTCCGCAGAGGGCCATTTCAAGTCGATATTTTACCTTTTCGACACTTTGCGTTCGTTATTTTGTCTTTTCGAGATTTTGCGTTCGATATTTTGCCTTTTCGATATTTTGCGTTCGATATTTTGCCTTTTCGATATTTTGCGTTCGATATTTTGTCTGTTCGATATTTTGCGTTCGATATTTTGCCTTTTCGATATTCTGCGTTCGATATTTTGTCTTTCAATATTTTGTCTTTCGATATTTTGTCTTTCGATATTTTGCGTTTCGATATTTTGCGTTTCGATAGTTTGCGTTTCGATATTTTGCTTTCGATATTATGCTATTCGATATTTTGCGATTTCGATATTTTGCAATTCGATATTTTGCGATTCGATATTTTGCGATTTCGATATTTTGCGATTTCGATATTTTGCAATTCGATATTTTGCGATTTCGATATTTTGCGATTTCGATAATTTGCGACTTCGATATTTTGCTTTCGATAATTTGCGTTCGATATTTTGCGCTTCGATATTTTGCGTTTCGATATTTTGTCATGGAAGCGGCAAAATGGCCCCCCCCCCCCAACGGGGCGAGGGTTATGTCAGAGTGATACAGCCTGAGCGTACTGTCCAATGCATCTTGCATGCGACTTACCGTGCAATATTTACCACCAACCGCTACACACTTGTCTCTCGGCCGACCCCACTCTCTCTCTCTCTCTCTTTCTCTTTCCCTCTCTCTCTCTCTCTCTCTCTCTCTCTCTCTCTCTCTCACACCCACACCCACACACACACCCACACACGTACACTCGCCGTGAGAGTGCCGCACCAACTGAGATCCAGTCGCGTCGCTCCGCCGTTCATACCAAGAACCGCCGACGTGTGCTCTACTAACGGGGAAACGCCTGTCAGTCGCCTCTAGCTGCTCGGCGAATTGATGGGTGCTTCACGAAAATATGGAGGAATTATTTACTACTAATTGTTGTAAGTGACTTAACACTAGAGATGTCAATCGGATACCAACTTTTTGGTATTATACGATACCAAACCGATACCAACTTGGTATTTGGTATTTCAATCCTAATATGTTTGGCATTTTGTTGGTATCATGAACCCTCATTAATGTAAGTATAAGAGGCTAATAAATTGGTAAAAAGATGGTATTTCCCTCATGTTCTCAAGTTGGTTTGGTTTCGGTATTTCCCCACGGTTTTGGTTGGTATTTGGTTTGGTACTTATCGGTATTTCGATTTTCTGTAACTGACATCACTCTTTAACACCATCAGCTATAGTAACGTTACTAAAGGAGCGTAATTTTAGTCGGATATCTAGACATGTGCGTGAATAAATAATCAGCTTGGTTTTGAGCGAACAATGATTGAGAATGCAAAACAATGGATCGGTTCCCATTGTTTTAACCAGTGACCTAGAGGTTAGCTCAAACAATACCTAATAGCAGGACCAATAGCAGCAACATGAGGCGGAAAATTGGAATAACAAATAGAGAACATCTTACTTCATCAGTGGCCGCCATCTGTCGGTAGCCGATGTGCTCTCTTTGGTCGAAACTCGAACATGAAGTCACGAACTGTCGTACTGGGTCCGCCGCGCGGCTGGTGGTTGTCTCTTGTGCAGCATCGCAGTTTCTGTAGTTTTCTGTGTATTCAATGATTCATAATGGCTTCAGTATGTATGAATATTCGACATTTACGTTGATGTTAACTAATAGGTACTTACTGAAAATCCATGGACTCCGTAAACATGCTATGACTGCGAAGTCGGGGACGGAGTCGGAGTCAGAGTCGGTCGAAGTCAGAGCCGGTCGGAGTCAAAGTCGGTCGGAGTCGACGGCTGTAACCGGCGTCGGAGTCATCATCGAAAGTCTATCGACTCCGCAGCCTATCATCAAATGCAAAATAACAATTGTTGAATGCATATACTTATATTATAGTACACAGTGCTTAGTAAAGATTAAGGACAGCTTAGGGGCAGTTCATTTCAAACATTGATCCGTGCTTCCTTCCGTCCGAGATCTCGTTTCGTTTTCTACCCATAGCGGATCATTTTTCATCTCCGAAGTCAGCTCCCGACCGATTTGATCCTCCTCTCCAAAGCAGACGAAGCCGTCTGCGCTGCCGCGCCGCTCAGCGGAACCACCTCACACCTGTTTTTCCAGGGTTCTGTCTGCTGTTCTAACCCTCTCGATTCCCCTCCCCCTCCCCGAGGATCACCGGTATGCGGGCAGGGGGAGGGGAAGACCGCGCTACGGAAGAGTTGAAAGGGTGCCGGGCAGGCCGGTCGTATGGGCAGCTAATGCCGCGAGAGGGGAAAACTGCTGATAACAATCTGGTGGAATCTGCTTGTTTGTGAAAAACGACTTGTGTAAAGGCAACAAACATTGACGTTGGCAGGCACTCTCTAGCCTAGCTCTCAGCAGTCGCTCCGAACTCTTTTCTACTGGTACTTATTTATCAAAAGCAATAAATGCAACACGTCTTACTGAGCGACCAGCATTCTTCGTCAGCTCTTCCGGTATCTTTCGACTTTTTTATCCGCACCAACTCGGTCGATCGGGCCCGCGGGCGTCAAAACATGCGTAGGAAGAAGAGTCACCGTGGGAAGAAGGACTTCGTGGCCCTGCCTGACGTTCACTTATGAACAGCTACTGCCGACACGCGTACCGTGCTCACCCTTTCCCACAGTCTCAGACAGCCAACCCTTCTACCCCACTGCTCCTCCCCTTGCTCTCCGTTCCGCCCTCTCCTAACGCAACGCACACAGCCCCACATTTATCATATCGGTGTGACAGGGGAAATTAGCATGTGAAGCGCCCTGGCCGCTAGATGCCCATACCCCTTCCACTAGCCACACATAACTCGGCCCTCCCCATTGAAACTCGGGAACCGCGGGCGCCTTCAAAACCACACACGCTACGCTATGCCGAGAATAGGATCCGTCTGTAGTTCAGTGAAGACAAACTCCGGCCAAAGTTCGATCGACCAAGAGATAACGTTGTGAAAGCGCTATAATTAATCAGAGGAAATGCGATCGATGAATGGCAGTGCCTTGTGATCCTAATTCCTAAATCGTCCAAAACAAATCGCATTTCCAGGGTTGCTTACTTGCTTGCTCATGACAGATCGTGCTACATTTTTAATGTGTTGCTATGGGTATAGGTATATTGCCTTGGTTGCTATGCATATTGTACATACTACATCTCACATCTGCCTTTAATATCATGGGTTCGAATTTACCGGCCGTTATTCATGACCGCTTATGTCCGATAGACACAATCATAAAAAACAGCTTTTAATGTTTATTGCGTGACATTACGGAATCAGATCAACGACAGACGAAACCTTGATCACGCCGATCTTGTTTGAACAGTGCGCACGAAACAAACGGGTAATGTCAATAAATATGGATAATAGACGAATTCGACTGCATAATTATCACTCATCACAGAATAAAAAACTACAAATAGTTTACCTATCCCTCGCGTATAAAAAAGCAATGGCCAAGAGGCAAAACTATGCCATCTCCTCGCCTTATCAATAGTTCGGCTAAAATGTCATCAGAGCACACCGAACGGTATCGTCTTCCGACAAGGCCGAACGTAACTGCAATATTTGAGACAGCTGCTCCGATCTATTACACTGCGTCTCGCTGCACGCCCACCGTCCACCAGCCATCCTGCTGCACTCTCCTCCTCAACGTCAGGTACTTGGCCGCCCTCCTCGTCACCGGCAGCACCACCTCTTCAGCGAACCTCTCTCTCGTCCACGGATCCTCCGCAGGAAGGAATCCCGTCCTCTCCAAGAAGGCCAGCAGAAAAGAGAAGCAGTTGCAGGATATTTCGTCGTAGACTTCTGCCCGCCATTCGGTAGAGTTTAAGAAGTGAGCGATCGCGTCATCCCAGCCTCTGTCATATGATGATGAAGCTCTAGAAGTTACGACATCACCTATATTATTCTCTGGATTTTCAATACGATCACCACTGTTTTGAGCGTCACTATCGCTCGCTGGAAGTGGAATCACCAAACATTGCGGCCACTCAGCGGCAGGGCAGAGCCTCAGACCATCCTGATCAAACGCCAGGACCCGACCACTACCGTCAGACACCCCCACATGTAGATCCCCGCCTCTGTAATCCTCGAACTCGCCCACAGTCGGCCGAAGCAGAACCGTTCGCGGGCGGTCAGAAGCGTGATGGAACGGCACTGGAAGCTGCGTTGCAACCGATGATTCTTCAAGGGGTTGTCGACAAACTGGACATGAAGCAGGTAGTGCAGGGGAGGTGAGGAAGATTGGGCAGCAGTGCTGCACGCGCCAAACGCCGCCCGTTGTCATGGTGATGTGGCGTGTTCAGCGTGAGCAGAACGATTCATGGCCAGCGTTGGGGTCAGCGCGATTATCTGCAAACGAAAAAAGGAGAAATTTGTTAGTGGATAATAGTAATGTGGATTATTTCACACCGTCACAGCAATTTCAGACCATTTTTTTTTCCTGAGGCTTGCACAAGTTATCTCGCTGCATTGCAGTATGACCTTGATCTATGGCATGCTTTTGAACAAGCCCCCATTCGCTTTGCATCACAAGTGAAGTCAATCACTTTACCTGGGCGGTTATCTGGATTTTGTGCCTAGAGATCAATCTCTCCTTCGCGCAGACCCCCTATCACTACTAACTCTACGTCCTGACTAATCCATAACTCGCTAGCATTTCCGACAAGATTTGTGTAAATCACTGCTTTTTTAGTTCTAATGCATTTTCATCAGCCTCAAAAATACAATATATGTGTCGTAATGTCTACAGGTGGCAGGGCCTCGGCTAAGGAATTTTGACTACTGGGGCAAATCGTCAGTGTGTTGGCGCCCTGCTGGGGGGGGGGGGGGGGTGTTTGAACACCTGCGGTTTGTCCTGCGGTTTTTCCTGCGGTTTTTCCTGCGGTTTTTTGCGGATATCTAAAAACGGCGGTGCTCCATCATCCATCAATTCTACACGTGTTGTAAAAATTTCAGACCAAGGTCATTCAAGATCAGGTCACCAGGTCACTTCAAGTGGCCTCACCTCATAAAATGTTTCAATGTATGCCGTAGCTACACCGAGTGACCGATCGCTTTGAAACTTTCAGCGATTGATAATGGCAACAGCATGTAGGGGAAGGTGGGGTAAGACGGCCCAGCGGGGCAAGACGGACCACCAGCCCTCCCGGCTGAACCGCTGCTGGTATCTACTGCTTTATGCACTCACTATGTTTGTTTTCCTTCGTAACAATGGCCACCTTGAGCTCATGCTGCTAGGATGCATAGCTTTTGAGTTGTTGAGAAAAATGTTGTTTTTCGTCAAACCGATCTAATATAAGAGGTCTACGGGTGATTCAATTACGGCGCCTTTCTTGCATGATTAGTTTCTATTTTGCACTTAACTGTGAAGAACAAAGTTATAAACTTAGTTATAGTCACACATTATAGGAAAGGCAAGGTTTTGCAATGTTGGGCTATTTGACATATACGTCATGATAATGACAGAATTTAGATTTGGGGCAAGACGGACCACTGTGGTCCATCTTACCCTGTGGTGGTCCATTGTACCCTGCACATGGAAAGTTCTTTTCCAAAACATTGACACAAGTTTAAGTAAGCTAATTTTTCAGGAAGGAGTCTTTGTTGCATGTGAGCCATGCATGCAAGTGCTCAGTTAGCATGCATTCATGCCAAACGACAATCAACACACATGTTCCCAGCTTTTAGCTGCATTTCCATCACACATGAGTAAAGAATAAAGGCTCATTTTGTTATTTTACCATTCTGGTTACTTTTTCTTACAAGAGTACAGAGCAGAAGTGTAACACACATGAACGGATAGCAGGCACTGCTGGGTGGTCCGTCTTACCCCGCGTTTTTTCTTGTCTGAGTTTTTGACATGTCCCTCTTTAAGAGCATCCACCACCTAGATGTCTTTAATTTGAAATTTAGTCTTTACACATATCAACAGAGGAAGGATTGAGCATTCCGAAGACTATAAATAATATGAATTACGAGAGCAGTGTAGCAAGATATGCGGCCTCAAACCTTAGCTGGTCCGTCTTACCCCACCTTCCCCTACCTACAAAATTTATATCTCGGAATTTTCATATCGGTGAGCTCAATTTTGCGACCTCTATTATAAGTCAATGGGAGAAAATTCAAAACCACCTCTCTTGGACGAAAGTCATTCTAAACACTATAAAACACTGTACGTGACTTTGACACACTCTGAGGTGACCTCAGGGGCATAAACAAGGGTCACCGGTGCTATTTTCATGTTCAGTGTGACACTGAACATGAAAATAGCACCGGTGACCCTTGTTTATGCCCCTGAGGTCACCTCAGTTCACGGATGGTATCTAACAGTTTTCCGCGAATAACTTTTGAAAGAGGCAGTAGCGGCGGAACACCTTCAATTAAGGGGGGCACTGCCGACTTGTAGTCCCATTCTTTCCATGCAACGCCCATAGGGCTAATGTTAAAATGCCAAAATCAAAGGGGGGCACGGTGCCCCGGTGCCCTCCCCGTCCGCCGCCTATGGAAAGAGGCATGCTAGAGCGATGCAAATGCCTTAGTTGTGTTTGGCTTGACGATGCAGATCGACTGATATGCAACATGGCAATTTCCGGTCAGATCATGACCTTGACCTGAGGTCGAATTTTCAAGTTGACCTTCAAGGTCAAATTGTAGTTAATTTGATGCGTCTTGACGAGAGGAATACGATGTCGGTAAAAGAAAGCTCGTGCAAGGCATGAGTCAAAAGTTATTGCAGAAAACCTGTTCCTGAAAAAAATCGTATATTTTGGTAGTTTTTGCCCCCTGCAGGCAAAACCGTTGACGTTAGGTCAAATCTAAGAGAAATAACCAGAAAGCATGCTAATATGGCTATCAAATGCGCTTTTCCGCGGTGCTGTAGCTTTCATTGGTTCCCGTTATGCGTCGGCATCTTGTAAGCTGTCGATATTCGACCTGAAAATTGGCGAAATTTGGCCTTCACAATGACCTGGCCATTGACCTGACCAAAAAAGTGGCCGAAGTAATTTCGTCATTATTTTTGACGCTCTTTTGAACGAAGATGGATTATCGGGTGCAAAAAGATATGTTTGCCAATGCACGCCTATGTTTTTGGATGGAAATTCAGGGTGCAGCTGCACACCGTGCACTCCCTCTTCCGCCGCCCCTGATTTCTTGCCACAAAGGTCTTCAACCGCTCCCGAATGAAAGAATGTACGTTAATATTGATATATCCTCATTTTGTGGAGGTTGGGCAAAGCCTGACCACTACTGGGGCATTCCTCGACTCTACTGGGGCATTTGCCCCAGTAGTTAGCATGTTAGCCGAGGCCCTGACAGGTGGCCCTTGGTAATCGATAACCAATGCCTTCTCCTATCGCCGATATTACCCTCCAACGCTTAAGTCACACTGAAATAACTACGTATGTATTATGAAATACGAATACGTCGTTTACAGGAATGCGGCATAGGGCCTTGAATGCGGCATGTGAAAGCCTATTATAAATAGGTAACCGTGAGCGTATAGCACATAGGTATGCACGGTTATAATTATCCGACAGTAGCCATTCATTTATGTTGACTTCGCTAACTATATAGAACGTAAACCCAGCATTCCACAGCTAACATCACACAGTACACCGACTAGATACTACAATCATAAAGACAGCTTACTGGGAGCACTACGATCGCGATGCTTTCATTTGGTGATGCACCTCGGAAAAAGTGAGGACATTTGCCTTTACGTGATACAAAACACACGTAACAGTCACCTAATAATAGTGCCATTACGGAAAAGCAAGCACAGAATTAGCCCATTTAGCGCACTTCTCAGAAAACACATCAGCTCACTCTAGTGCGAACCATTGTACTAGACAATTAAGCCAGCTGGCACGAGACCTGACAAACCGTTTCCATGACAAATGTAACACAAACCGATAAATCCTCGCACAATCCGAGGAGTTCCACAACAGTTTCCATTTGGATCGAGACAATTTATCAGGACGTTTTTGTGTGTAGACAGCACTGCAAGCCACCAGGCGCGAGCGCGTGAAAGATATAATGCAGAGCTTGTCCAATACAGTTACCTGGCGATATGGTCCATCGAATTGCCCAGGATCGAACTGACATGCCGCCATCTGCTGGGGCGCTCACGCGTAACCGAAAATGAGACCATGAGACAACAAAAACCACGCCGCCCGGGCCCCGGCCCACGGCCAGGTCCCAGCGACGTTCATCAAAGGCCGACTTTCACAACAGAAAAGTGGGGGCTTTCTTGTGCGAGGCAGCAGTTCTTGGAAGAGATCAGCGTGACTGGGAATCGGGTGCCGCGCTCGACACAATCACTTATTTCGCTAACGTTCCAATCACTTTCTCCATCACTGCCATTCATCTGATTGTAGTTCGTTCCACTCTTTCTTTTTCTTCTCATCACATCTCTTTCTTTCTTTCTCCTCTCTCTCTCTCTCTCTCTCTCTCTCTCTCTCTCTCTCTCTCTCTCTCTCTCTCTCTCTCTCTCTCTCTCTCTCTCTCTCTCTCTCTCTTCTCATTCTGAAAATCACGGACCTTATCGATGTCGCGCCGGCGACTCGAGCGTTTTGTTATTGATCACCAACAGCAGAAGAACGGTGCCTGCCGTCACGGCCACAGCCGTTCCCACGAGCACCAGCTCGAGATCACGTAAATCACCCAGAGGCACTGGTAACACCACTGTGGGACTATTATCCGTCTGCACCGCATGATACTCGCACACAGCATCACTGGCGATACGACATGGAAACGGTTCCTTCTCATCACACTTGCAGTCATCACTGTCAACGGTGGGTGATTCTGCCTCGATAGAAGGTTGAGTATCTGGTTGATTCTCCCAATCACATCCTAGGAAGAGACGCGGCGACTCGATGTAGACCGAAGCGATTCGTTCCGTTTCGTCCGCGCGATGGTAGCGCGCGTGGACTGGTAAAGATACCGTTGCCGTCACCTGACCCGACACCTCTCCTTCGGTGACGTTTACCTCCACCCACGACAGCACATCCAGCCAGGTAGAATCATGCGCCATCGCTTCCACATCCACCAAACCAAGCACTTTGTGTTGAGCACTGGGAAGACGAGCCAGCTGGTAGGGGTCTGCGTACACCCCAGCGGGTAGACGCTCCACTAGCAGTAGACGGCAGTCAGCGAGGGAAGGCGACCAGGGCAGCTGGACTGAGGTCACCAGGTCCCGGTGAAAGCCGTCCTTCTCCAGGCGCCGGGTCAGCCAGGCACTGGACGTGTAACAGCAGTTGCTGGAGGATGCTACCGCTGAGCACGTCCACAGAAGAAGCGATAGAGCAGTCGAGAGAGGACTCATCTTCACTGGAAACATGATGACAGAGTGTTGTAATCGGATTCTGGAGAAATATAGGTATCACCTTTACCTATATTTCTCAACACCTTTACCTTTACCGTATTTTCTTGCTGTTAGTACGAAGTGTAGTCCTTATTTTCCCTCATACCTTATTGGGTTGAACTTTTGTTGGCTGGGGATTAGAGGTATACTGACAGCACTGAGCACAATCCTTATGCACCCACTACCTTTACCAGCAATCAGGTATGTACAGGTCTCGCGAGATTAAGCGGTAGGTTTTGCACTTTTACATTTCCGGTTATATCTCAGAAACTAATCGATCTACGATGAAGCCATTTTACACGATCATGGCCGGCTTGTTACCCAACAAGTCGATCGCATCTTAACACTTAAAAGCTTAAGACGACGAAGATATAGCCTGAAGTACACTAAATTTTCTAGGTGCAAAACCTACCGCTAAAACCCGCGAGACCTGTACCTACCGTCCTACCCACATAAGTGACTTAGAACGAAAAACTGAGCACCTTTACCATTGCTGTGGAAGTCTGGCAGAGGATGAATCAACGTGTGCTGAACAGTGGACGTCAAGGCAGTCAATTTCACAAGGGAGGTAAAAAACCTGGTACATAATGGTCAGACAATGTGGTGACTGTTCCCATGAGCAGCTATCCAGTTGCATGTAGGTTTATGATTGGTGTATTGTGGACCAATTCCAATTTCCAAGTATGAGTATAATAGGTATAACCCCAGCAGCCATACTCATGGTGAGCCAAAAATTTCAGCCAGCAGATGCACGATGTGAATCAGAATGATAAAAATCTATGACTGAATATCATTCTTGGAATTTTCATTTTTAGTCTTGGTTCTACACCTTTTTAGGCTCAAGTTCGAATAAGCCAAGTTCAAATTCGAATAAGTCAACTTCATATTGGAAGATGTCAAATACAAAATCGGATACCTCAAGCTCAAATTGAGAAATGCCAACATCAAATTGGAAGAAGTCAAATGCAATTTCGTTTTACTCAAGATCAAATTCGAATACACCAAATTCAAATTAGAATAAGGCAACTTCAATTTCGTCTTGTATTAGTAGTGTTTGTTTATTTGTCATCCTTTATCACTATAAATAAGTTCTTCGTCACCGAATGCATGACATTTTCAGTCACAATGCAAGTACTTTGATGATGGACGAATGCGTTTGTTTTCTTTTTACGAGCGCGTGAAAAATAAAATGTTGAGAAATATGTACGTATCATACTTATACGGTAAAATAGGTCCAGGCCCCAGGGTAAATGCAAAGCATATGCAGTCTAAAATTGAAAAAATAGGCTTTACAATTGGAGCAAAAGTAATTGCACGCATACATGTAATGACAATTGACTCGAAGCAATGGACGGCTCGGACACCGTCACGGATGTCAGCGATCTTGAGCTGTCAGACAGTTCCGCTACACGTGAACCAGTTGGCCGCTACACGGCTCGCTCTCCCCGCCACTGCCCAGTCTGATATCGCCACTGGCTGACAGCTTTGTGTAAATATGAGTTCATGATGGCGGGACATTTTTGCATACTATGGGCACAAGTTTTCAAATGGCAGATTTCCGTTTCGTGTCGAGCATAGACCGCGTCACCCTGGCAGAGCTGCGAGCTGCGAACTGAGATATGTATGTAGTTCATGACGCACAGTCTTTTATCGAAACGAGACTGGGCGAGATGGGAGTCGACAGCCAAAGTCGATCGAAGGTAGATGGCGATTAGGATTAGCAAATCATAATAATAATAGCATAATATAATAATGATAATAATAATAATGATAATAATAATAATAATAATAATAATAATAATAATAATACCTAATAATAATAATAATGATAATGATAACGATAGCGATAATGATAATGATAATAGCATCATAAGAATTATATTTATTTACGGCAGGTAGCTGCGATGAAATTGCATTTGTCTTATTCTAATTTGAATTTGACGTATTCGAATTTGATCTTGAGTAAGTTGAAATTGCGTTTGACTTCTTCCAATTTGAAGTTGGCATATCTCAATTTGAGCTTGAGGTATTCGATTTTGTATTTGACATCTTCCAATATGAAGTTGATTTATTCGAATTTGAACTTGGCTTATTCGAACTTGAGCCTAAAAAGGTGTAGATAATCAAGAATGGCAGGAGCCAACCAGCCTTGATTAGAAAACATCTCTGGGTAAAGCACCTCTCTTTGGTTGCAAAACATACATTTTTTGTTTTGTTTTGCTGGGTTAACCCTCTAATGCCCACACATAGTTCCACGGTTCCTAAAATTAGCACCTTGTAACATATGATTCATTTTGGGTCCCTTGTTCGAAATCTGGAGTCAAATATTTTTTCGCAGTTCAAATTTCGGAAATAAATTTTGTATCAAATATGATACAATTACATTGGGCATTCCACTTGGTAATTTTTAGTGGTATCAGACCACACAGAAGGAAGTGAAGACATAGATGAGAAAATATATATCATTAAAAATTTCAGTGATAAAAGTGGCAGTTAAAATGTGTAAAATGCCAACAAGACATCCTTTACTTCGCACTTTTTATCAGAACATTTTCTTAATATTTCATTGGCATCCTTCTTGTATCAAAATGTCCTTTCAGTCGGTGCTTAGGGAACAACGCTAATCATAGGCATCTATTTACGAGTGCCTTCTATTCCTTCAATTTCCACGATACAGTGCGTTGCACTTGTGCAATTTTTCATAATTCAGACATGTGGGCCGTGCTTCTCAAACGTAGATGCGTTATGCATACTTGATATAGAAATGATGACATTACAGTTGGCTCGCGGTAATTGGTTGAAGTGAAGCAGTTCTGATGCAAAATGCTGGACAGCCTGCCGACGGACCGGGATCAATGCCAAAGACGATGTTGGTTTATCTTCATGATAGCCGGACAATCTCGGGTGACTGAAACTCTCAACCTGTGAATCGTCAGTTAGTACTTTGACTGGTCGTGCGGTCCTGATGTCATCGGCGTCAGTATAACAGCCGCGCACTGACCAGTGCAATAACCGTTGTACGTGTCAGACAACACAGGTACAGGTAACTGTGCACCGATCGGCAGGAACTTGTACAATATTCATTGACCTCATATGGAGGTGAGCATACGCATTACGCAATGTCGCAACTTTTATTCTATGGTCAGTACAAAAGTAGTATCCATGTTAATTTAGTACCTATAAATCCTTTTTGTTCAGTGGCACTCAGCTACCACAGTTGGCGGTATATGTCAATATATGACAACAAATGACATACCTGGCAGTGAAAATGCTTGCCAGGTGTCAGGCACCTGCTGGAACTTGGCAGAAGTGCATGGTTGCCTACTTCTTAGATAGGAAATCAAAGGAACCACGCCCTTCGGTCCGGAGTCTGTCTTGTCATCGTCAAACAGTTGCAAAACCATATTCCTATGAGCGTTAGAAAAGTCGAGATGTATGAGGCATGCAAGGCCACTCATAGAAAGCTAGATGTTGGAAGATTGACAAGGATGAGAGGCGGCATAAGCGTACCAATATCGTTATGACATTTTAAGTCTGGAGCGAAATAGAGTTATCTGGCGCAAGAGGTGCGAACTTCACAAATTTATGCATCTTGTATCATCGTCGTTTGCAATGAATCACAGGCCATTGCAATGCTTATCACCTGAGAAAACTATGGTATTGGCACACCGTATGTTGCAGCGGCGAAAATTTCATAGAAAATATTGGAGTGCTATGCCCACTGTATCATATCTAGTATCCCCAAAAATAGGGGGTCCATATCTTTGACCCTGAAAAAGTTGCGATGTTTTGCAACATACTATGATATATGTTGAACATTTGTCTCACAGTATGCCAAGTTTCTTTCCAAATAACTATTTTTTTATTTTCTAAATGCTTAAATTTACACTTGCATCTCAAATTGATTTTCGGCAAAGGACAAACTGACCCTCTTCAAAATCACCTGGTGGGAAACTGAGAAATCATTACTTTAAAATTTTGCCACCAGGTGGTTGCCAAGACGTACCACTTCTGATACAGCAGGGTTTTCAACAATTTTCACCTCTATGATTAGCAGGCGAATTTTCTGCAAATTGACTTACAGATATGATACCGGGGGCACTAGAGGGTTAAGCCCTTTTGGTCTGACAAGACCAATTCAGAGCTGGAAGGATGATGGGAGTTACTCATAGGGGGAGACATTGGTCTGGGCAGACACCCTAAAGGCCTAGAGAGTCGCCAGGGCTGAGCCTGTCAGAATGGACAGGCCGAACAGCCCGCAAGCACTCTCTGCACCCAGCTTCGGAGTGGGCTCCCTCGGTCTTGGGTGCAGCGGTGCCGCTCCAAGGGAGCAGCCCACATGAGATAAATGTGCCTGTCCACTCCAGCCCTAAGTAGGGGTTGCAGCATGGAGGAGAAGGACTCAGTATCCTGAGGATGGAAGCGACGGAACAGAGGCAAAACAAAAAGTGTGACCCCTGCCTTACGACTACCTTGACCTGCTAGCTGAGATAGGTCGGTATTAGTATAGGTATATCAATATTATGTTGAGGTCTCAGTCCAAGTCTTGAGGGATGATGGTGAGGCCCTGTTAACCTGTTGAACTGACTTCCTTATGTTTTCGTTGACAATTTATAAGTTAGCTTTAGGTAAATATTTCATACGATCAGAAGTTCAGCCAATTGCCTCAATATATGTAATTGACTGCTGTCAATTTAGCAGCAGTTTGATTATCCAACTACAGTTTGATATTCAGGGTGCGCCGATTTCGCCCAAACCTACCCCAGGGACCAAGTCTGTCACGCTGAGCACGAATCTGGTGTCAGAAATCCGCTATTCTCAACCGATCACCCAAATTTACCGTTTTTGAGTTCGTCCATCTACAGATTGACAAACTCCAGGGGCCCTCGATTTCGCCTAAAAATGGGTCTAGGGGACCAAGTCTGACACGCTGAGCACGAATCTGGTGTCAGAAATCCACTATTCTCAACCGATCACCCAAATTTTCCGTTTTGAGTTCGTCCATCTACAGATTGACAAACCCCAGGGGCCCTCGAATTCGCCCTCAAATGGATCTAGGGGATGGAGTCTGACACGCTGAGCACGAATCTGGTGTCAGAAATCCGCTATTCTCAACCGATCACCCAAATTTACCGTTTTTGAGTTCGTCCATCTACAGATTGACAAACTCCAGGGGCCATCGATTTTGCCGAAAAATGGGTCTACGGGACCAAGTATGACTCACTGAGCACGAATCTGGTGTCAGAAATCCGCTATTCTCAACAGATCACCCAAATTTACCGTTTTTGAGTTCGTCCATCTACAGATTGACAAACTCCAGGGGCCCTTTATTTCGCCCAAAAATGGGTCTAGGGGACCAAATCTGACACGCTGAGCACGAATCTGGTGTCAGAAATCCGATATTCTCAACAGATCACCCAAATTTACCGTTTTTAAGTTCGTCCATCTACAGATTGACAAACTCCAGGGGCCCTCGATTTCGCCCAAAAATGAGTGTAGGGGGCCAAGTCTGACACGCTGAGCACGAATCTGGTGTCAGGAATCCGTTATTCTCAACCGATCACCCAAATTTACCGTTTTTTAGTTCGTCCATCTACAGATTGACAAACTCCAGGGGCCCTCGATTTCGCCCAAAAATGGGTCTAGGGGACCAAATCTGACACGCTGAGCACGAATCTGGTGTCAGAAATCCACTATTCTCAACCGATCACCCAAATTTACCGTTTTTGAGTTCGTCCATTTACAGATTGAAGGGGCCATCGATTTTGCCGAAAATGGGTCTACGGGACCAAGCCTGACACGCTGAGCACGAATCTGGTGTCAGAAATCCGCTATTCTCAACAGATCACCCAAATTTACCGTTTTTGAGTTCGTCCATCTACAGATTGACAAACTCCAGGGGCCCTCGATTTCGCCCAAAATGGGTACAGGTGTGTAGCCACTCTTACACACCTGCACCAACGTTTCCCAAAGTGTCCCTTTGATAAGTGGCACTTTGGCAAAGTGACACTTGCCGACTGGCCTTTCTATATGAACTGGGCCCGGCCCTGGTGAGTTGCCGGGGCTGCGCCTGACCAAAGGATAGGCCGAGCAGCCCCCAACACTCACCGCACCCTGCTACGGGCGAGCTCGGCTTACGGGCAATCCCAAATGGGATAAAGTTTCCCGTCCAGTCCGGATCAGGGGGTTGCGGCGTGGAGGAAGATTTGAGTTTCCTGAGGATATTTTGAATACAGAAGCTCTTTATGAAACATGAAACATGTATTTTATATTATTTTAACGGTCAAAACAGCGGCCGATGTCGGTCCGACGTCGCCCCGACGTCGGCCCGACGTCGGCTGGACCTCAGCAATTGATCTCGGTCCGACGTCGGCCCGACGTCGGCTGGACCTCGGCTGGACGTCGGTACATGCAGGCATATCCGACATCCAGCCGACGTCGTGCCGAGGTTGGACCGGCCGATGCCGAGATGCCGACGTCACCCCGACGTCGGCCGACGTCGGGCCGACGTCGGCATGTTTACTGGGTAAACTCTAGGGGCCCTCGATTTCGCCCAAAAATGGGTCTAGGGGACCACGTCTGACACGCTGTTGTTATAGTCGGACTTTTGTAGATGGACGAACTCAAAAACGGTAAATTTGGGTGATCGGTTGAGAATAGCGGATTTCTGACACCAGATTCGTGCTCAGCGTGTCAGACTTGGTCCCCTAAACCCATTTTGGGCGAAATCGAGGGCCCCTGGAGTTTGTCAATCTGTAGATGGACGAACTCAAAAACAGTAAATTTGGGTGATCTGTTGAGAATAGCGGATTTCTGACACCAGAATCGTGCTCAGCGTGTCAGACTTGGTCCCATAGACCCATTTTTCGGCAAAATCGATGGCCCCTGGAGTTTGTTAATCTGTAGATGGACGAACTCAAAAACGGTAAATTTGGGTGATCAGTTGAGAATAGCGGATTTCTGACACCAGATTCGTGCTCAGCGTGTCAGACTTCATCCCCTAGATCCATTTGAGGGCGAATTCGAGGGCCCCTGGAGTTTGTCAATCTGTAGATGGACGAACTCAAAAACGGAAAATTTGGGTGATCGGTTGAGAATAGTGGATTTCTGACACCAGATTCGTGCTCAGCGTGTAAGACTTGGTCCCCTAGACCCATTTTTGGGCGAAATAAAGGGCCCCTGGAGTTTGTCAATCTGTAGACGGACGAACTCAAAAACGGTAAATTTGGGTGATCGGTTGAGAATAGCGGATTTCTGACACCAGATTCGTGCTCAGCGTGTCAGACTCCATCCCCTAGATCCATTTGAGGGCGAATTCGAGGGCCCCTGGGGTTTGTCAATCTGTAGATGGACGAACTCAAAACGGTAAATTTGGGTGATCGGTTGAGAATAGCGGATTTCTGACACCAGATTCGTGCTCAGCGTGTCAGACTTGGTCCCCTAAACCCATTTTGGGCGAAATCGAGGGCCCCTGGAGTTTGTCAATCTGTAGATGGACGAACTCAAAAACAGTAAATTTGGGTGATCTGTTGAGAATAGCGGATTTCTGACACCAGAATCGTGCTCAGCGTGTCAGACTTGGTCCCATAGACCCATTTTTCGGCAAAATCGATGGCCCCTGGAGTTTGTTAATCTGTAGATGGACGAACTCAAAAACGGTAAATTTGGGTGATCGGTTGAGAATAGCGGATTTCTGACACCAGATTCGTGCTCAGCGTGTCAGACTTCATCCCCTAGATCCATTTGAGGGCGAATTCGAGGGCCCCTGGAGTTTGTCAATCTGTAGATGGACGAACTCAAAAACGGAAAATTTGGGTGATCGGTTGAGAATAGTGGATTTCTGACACCAGATTCGTGCTCAGCGTGTAAGACTTGGTCCCCTAGACCCATTTTTGGGCGAAATAAAGGGCCCCTGGAGTTTGTCAATCTGTAGACGGACGAACTCAAAAACGGTAAATTTGGGTGATCGGTTGAGAATAGCGGATTTCTGACACCAGATTCGTGCTCAGCGTGTCAGACTTGGTCCCTGAGACCCATTTTTGGGCGAAATCGAGGGCCCCTGGAGTTTGTCAATCTGTAGATGGACGAACTCAAAAACGGTAAATTTGGGTGATCGGTTGAGAATAGCGGATTTTCGACACCAGATTCGTGCTCAGCGTGTCAGACTTGGTCCCCTAGACCCATTTTTGGGCGAAATCGAGGGCCCCTGGAGTTTGTCAATCTGTAGATGGACGAACTCAAAAACGGTAAATTTGGGTGATCTGTTGAGAATATCGGATTTCTGACACCAGATTCGTGCTCAGCGTGTCAGACTTCATCCCCTAGATCCATTTGAGGGTGAATTCGAGGGCCCCTGGAATTTGTCAATCTGTAGATGGAAGAACTCAAAAACGGTAAATTTGGGTGATCGGTTGAGAATAGCGGATTTCTGACACCAGATTCGTGCTCAGCGAGTCATACTTGGTCCCGTAGACCCATTTTTCGGCAAAATCGATGGCCCCTGGAGTTTGTCAATCTGTAGATGGACGAACTCAAAAACGGTAAATTTGGGTGATCGGTTGAGAATAGCGGATTTCTGACACCAGATTCGTGCTCAGCGTGTCAGACTTGGTCCACTAGACCCATTTTTGGGCGAAATCGAGGGCCCCTGGAGTTTGTCAATCTGTAGATGGACGAACTCAAAAACGGTAAATTTGGGTGATCGGTTGAGAATAGCGGATTTCTGATACCAGATTCGTGCTCAGCGTGTCAGACTTCGTTCCCTAGACCCATTTTTGAGCGAAATCGAGGGCCCCTGGAGTTTGTCAATCTGTAGATGGACGAACTCAAAAACGGTAAATTTGGGTGATCGGTTGAGCATAGCGGATTTCTGACACCAGATTCGTGCTCAGCGTGACAGACTTGGTCACTGGGGTAGGTTTGGGCGAAATCGGCGCACCCTGAATATCAAACTGTAGTTGGATAATCAAACTGCTGCTAAATTGACAGCAGTCGACAAATGACAGCATTTTGTACTTACCAAACGAAGAGCTGCTGCTGCTCCGATATCGTCTCATCGTCTCAAAACAGAGAGGCATAGAACGAAGGAACATTTTTACGAATCAGCAGCTTTGGTGACGTCATAAAACTAGTTGTGTGAAAGGATCGAAATCAATAGAAGACTCGTTTTCTTGATCAATGATCAATTTAAATCTTCTTTTTATGTTGAAAATATTTTTCTCGTATTTCATGCCGCACGAAAAATAAAAATGATCACACATACACCAAAAACTGCCGCATCTTTTTATTTGATTTGTCAAAAAACGTTGACGTCATAAAAATTATTGGTTCTTATTTATTCCTCAAAACTTATTTAGCATTAGCGGCATTAGCAAAGCGAATTCTCAGGGGATCATATGCTGATGCCGCTGATGCCATTCATTCATTCATTCATTCCCTTTCGATTCAGTCATTCATTTAATTTCTGGCAGCAAGCGTGAGGTGATAAACACGTGTGGATTATTACTTTCGGTCGGTCCTATTGTACAGTCTGTCTTAAAAGTACCGCGCAAAGTGACGGTGGATCCATCAAGCCTGACCGATGAAGGACTGCTAAATTTGAGTCACCCCGAAGCAATGGACATCCTCGTCCCTTCCCCAGGTCAATTGGTTCGGTGACTTTCAAATTATAGCAGGCACTTCCTCGGTCAGGCTTGATGGATCCACCGTCACTTTGCGCGGTACTTTTAAGACAGACTGTACACAGCCTTTCGTCGCGGTGAAGTCAACTGTCAAAGTGCAACAGCACAAACTGAAACAGGGATCATCTTAGTCATTCAAAGTTGCTAAGGCAATCCTCAAAACAAAAAGTCAAATAAACCATGTCAATGTCAATGTCACGTCATGTCATTCAGAGTTTACAGAGTGCAAGTGCTGATGCGTGTGCTGAGACATCCAGCATGGTAATTAGGTCGATAGGTCACATGCAGGCTAACACATTTTTTGTCACTTTCCATCTAGCATTGTAGTTCAAGTTGCCAGAGTTTTCTGCAGAACGCGACTTTTTCTTTCGCGACTTTGACTTTGTTGGTGATATTTTTTACCCCACTCCAGGCTGCAAGGCTTGGCTGCAGCAGGGTCCACAAGACCCTGCGAGGGTGACTAATGGACACCAGCCCGCACCAGCCGGCAGCCTACCACCTCAATGAAACCTAGAGTTTTTGCTACTAAATTTATAAATTCTGTGCTTTTGATAGGACAAAACTGCAATGAAAGGTCATTTCCACCCTGGCTAGCCCCATTTCCATCAGTGTGATTCATGAAGGCTGACTGCAATGTTCTGTTACAGATGTCCCTCTGCAAGCTAATGATGAGAAGTGTCTTAAAGTCACTGAGGGCTTCAACATTATGTCGTTTGGATCATACACCCAGCAGAGGGTATGTTGGTAACTAACTGATGAATAAAGCAAGCTCCTTGCCAGTCATACTTATTGCTTGTGTGTGACAGATGTTTTTTATACCCATGATAACTTTAAAAATGGAATACAAAAGATTTTTACCATTTTTTATACCCAACACACTGATGAGCTGTTAAGTTTTTGTAGATTAATTGGAATCTGATATTCATATGAAGCTACTGTTATTTAGCTGGTGTCAGAGTGAACGTTTTCTATTGTTTATGCAAGACTAATTTTAATTGCCCCATGTGTTATACAAATGTTTTGCATATTTGTGACAAGGTAACTCACAGTTTCACCTGGTTGCCTGCTACCTGGTTGCTAATATTTGATATCTAAAATAAATAGCTATCATTGGCATCATCTTTTCCAGTGTGGCTTCTATAATTGATGGCAAGAAAATTGCAGAAGACATTAAGATGGAGATCAAAGCTGAAATAGATCAGCTCACGAGTGGTGAGTTTGTCTGTGCGATCTTTACCCCTGCTTACTGCTATCTTTACTATGGTCAAGAAATAGGCAAGAAATCCAGAACAAATTATGCTAATGGGTAAATAGCGACCTCCCGGGTCTAGTGTGGCCCTCTCTCGCCAGTTGCCAGTTGGCTGAATATAGAAACGCTGGATAACGGTAGCTTCCCGGCCGCGAACTCGCTGCCACCGAGTTACGGACGGACAAAAGATACGCCTCGGCCACGGCATGACGTCCAGTGTCTAGTGTGACCCTGTCTTGCTAGGTTTTAAGCAGGGCTGCGGAGCCGGAGTTGGAGTCGGTCGGGGTCGGCAGTTCTGCCCGGTGTCGGAGTCGGAGTTAACGCTGCATGGCTCAACGTCATGCCCTGCATCTGTTTTATTGACAATACTACGCTCGAAATTGGATTTTGTCGAAAAAGGCCATTTGGGTGTTTTGGACGAATGTTTTCAGCGAAAGAAGGAGAAGACGGTGAACTCCCCAGAACCTGCGTTTTAATTCTGCATGCTATTTTCAATGCATACCAGACCACATGAGGTACCTACTTTATTTGCAATGCAAAGCCTTGGAACGCACAAAGGGTCGTTTCAGGCAAGATACGGATTTTTATTGAGCCGTCCGGAGTCGGAGTTGGAGTCGGAGTCGGAGTCGGAGTCGGAGTCGGAGTCACCCTAAAATCCATCGACTCCGCAGCCCTGATTTTAAGTACCTCAATATAAGATAATACGCTGAAAAACCGATGCTGTTTTCCGCTTTTTATTTCACCGATATAGAGAAAGTAGACATTTGCTTTATGAACCAAGTCACACAGGAGTCTTTCATCATAGTTATACGTAAGAGTATTGGTTATGCCTACAATCCAATACCCACCCCAAATAAAGCAGTCCGCCGATATGATGTTTGGTTGATGTACCGCCAGGTGGCCAGCGTCAGCCACATCTCAGCGTGGTTCTGGTCGGTGATGATCCCGCCTCGGCTGTCTACGTCAGGAACAAGATCAACGCCTGTAAACGAGTGGGTGAGTAGAGGCGACGAATTAGCTGCGGGGTGGGACCGGTGGGCTGCTGAACGTGCCACTCAGTAAAGTCAAGAGTGGATACCGGATGGATTAGATAAACAGGCCGAATGAATGACAAAAAGCTCTATTTCAGTGTTGTAGCGCTAGCTCTTTCTTATCTTCATTGATAATGCAATTTTGACCGGTGGTATGCAGGATTTTTCAGAGTGTACTCCCAGATAGAGTCCCGCGAACTTAGCACGGGGTTGTCTAATGTCAATGCCCTTGTATTTCATATCTAATTATCCATGTACGACAATGACAATTGCACCTCTAGTAACAACCTTTGTATCTATTGCATACTCTAGGGATCAACAGCGAGGCCATTGTGAAGCCCTCGGCTACGTCTGAGACGGAACTTCTGGATACGATCAGCGCACTGAATGAGAACCCCGGCGTCGACGGGATTCTCGTACAGGTACGAAATAACGCTAATCTGAGGGAGTTTGATGGAAAGGTCAATAGTGTGACGTCATTTTGTCGAATTAAGGTCTTTGGTGTGTCGATTGAAAGGTTGATGTGGAATGTTGGAGCTGTATTGGTCCATTGTATCGATAGCTAGTGAAGTGCCATAATTTATGGGCTTGGGTGTCTGACGTCATATTGTTCTGTGCAGGGAAGATAACACATGAGCCTGACCCTATTTTCCCCTTTCCGGCGGTTTTAGCCAGAGCACAATATCGATCAGTCCGTCTCCAATCCAGCCTAACTTACAACATGCCGTATTCTCTATCTTCCAGCTGCCGGTGCCGGAACACATGAACGAGCGTGTCATCTGTAACGCCATTCATCCGAGCAAAGACGTGGACGGCTTTCATGTCGTCAATGTCGGCAGGTGAGCTGCTTGGGGAGGCCGGTAGGGGGCGCTCGCTCGTTACGACTGGCTGGGATTGCACCAATAGCATGTGTGGGGGCTTGCCGGACTACTGTGAAAGTAACTGACTTGGGGGTGATGTTTGCTGAAATATGTTATTGTAAGGAGTGGGACCTGCTATGCTACCGACTGATGCATTCAAAACGGAGCTAAAATCAAACTATTTTTCATCATATAAGTGCGAATTTAACTCACCGGACGGCTTTTTTATCCCGTTATGAGGGGTGAATTCCACATGAAAGAACATTAACAAGATTCGCCGCCATACTGCCAGTACCTAGACGTCGTTCGGTAGACGTCTCATTGCATGTTAAAGCCCTAACCGGGATCGCTCTAGTGCACCCCATAGTGGGTGCGACCTATGCCTGTGGCCTGAAGAGGTTCTGGCGGCCCAGAACTGTTAACGGGAGCCCGAAACATACCATGCGTTCCAGACCACATGAGACCCCGTTTTCGGCGATACTTACGTGATTTGATGCGTGTCCAATTGTCTATAAATTTCCACACAACACATTTTAGCCCAACCACCTCAATACGGTCTATTGCAGTTTTTTTTTTTAAAGAGGCGTTTGACGAAAACCGGTGCTTGAGTTGAAATATGTGACAAAAGTTCAAGCTTATTGCACTAAGGGTGAAATTATCGACGAAAGCAGTGTCTCATGGGTTTCTGGAACGCACAGTAGCCTGGATTCCGCGCCGGCTATCCTCCGTGCCCCTGTGACCGGGCTGCGCGCGTGACAGGTTCGTACAGGACATGGATTGCCTGATGCCCTGTACACCGCTCGGGGTTCAACAGCTCATCATCAGATCAGGTGAGATCAGATCAACAGATCGCGCCACTGCTCCGGAGGGCAGGCAGGTTTTTCGAAGATCCTCCGGGTCTGACTTTAGAAAGCTACGTCTTTTGTTCACTAATGTGTGCAATAAGTGCATGACGGGTGTCGATGCGTTCTGTGGGACTTTGCATGATATTTAATACCGATGTGTCCTGAAATGGGAGCCTTTGGATGGGGAAAGCACGCATGGGTTAGTTATGTACCGGTCTTTTTATTCCCTTTTTTTGGTTGGTAGCTTCACTCTATTTCATGTCAATTCGTGTGGTCATGTTTTTTTTTGCATTTGCGATTCCTTCGTGCTCGTACCCCTGTGTGTGTGGGGGGGGAGGCGGGGGGGGGGAAACGTTTTCGTACTGCTAAAGAATAAATTTAGGCGGGGGGGAAACGTTTTCGTACTGCTAAAGAATAAATTTAATCACGCCACTCATTCAAGCAGTGCAGTTATTTTCTGTGAAAGATGGTCCTTCGCTATGCGTCCAAGTGAACCTGACCTGCCAACCATGTACAGCCCTCTGCAAACTGCGTCGTAGGTATTATTTTTTCGACAAAACCGAGAATAACGCGAATACTATGCTTTCGGGCACTCGAAAATCGTAACAGCAAGACGCGCGAGACTCCGCACCTTAGATTGGCATTATCATCGTATTCATTTTCCATCCAGTTTGGCAACAAAACCCATAAGTTTATATTTGCCCCCAAAACACACTTTTGCATTTTATTGCCGCACAAGGCGTATACTTTATCTAGTGATAGACCTCATCGAAGGAGTGGAGCATGGCGCATCTATGTGCAATGAGTTCCGACCGACTGATAACATAGCCTTTGAGTTATTATCGGTTTTGTCCAAATAAGAATACCTACCACGCAGTCTGCTGAGGGCTGTACATAAGCTGCTACTAATCGGGTGGGTACCTTTCCTCAAAAATAAAATTTTTACCTGAACGAACACTAATGCCTCAACTATGTACAGCCACTCTTCGTCTAGCACAATGCAATAATCGTGGGATTTTTGTTACCAGTCTTTAAATTGGGTACCTTTGGAGTTTGGCTTGGATTATTTCAACCGTAATTGCCATTTGTGAGTGAATCGAGTTCTTATGTACCAAGCATGGACGGCATAATTGCGATGCTTTCTGCGTTTATAATCCAATGAATCACACTTAAACAATACAGTTTGACGTCGCCACGACTCAGTCCTTGACTAAGGGACGTTTGTTGTGTATAGGGGCCATCACTGCCGTTCAGAGTGCGCACATATCTTCCTCTCATTGACGGTAGTATTCTGTTAACGATCATATAAATCACATGCAGTTGTTCGGTGCTTGATCCAATTTACGACATTGCTTGAGTAGGACGCTAGGAATGACAGCTCTGGATAAGACTTATAACCCCGTAGCCGGAACCTAGATTACCTTTGCGGCTCCTGTTGACTTTGACTCCTGTTGGACTATTTGACCCCTTCATTTTGCCCTTGACCTGTGTGGCTACTTGGCAAAGTGACAAATATTACCTACTTGAGGCATGAATGTAAATCATGGCCAAACTTACAATAAGTTTCGTTCCTACCGTCCACAAGCAGTTAACTGTTAAAAAAGCTATATACCCTAGTATCATCATGCAACTCTAAAGTTTAAAGTCGTGAAACTAAGCGCATGATTATGTCCACTCAGGATGCGTATTTATCATCGTAGACATATCACCATTCGCACGCCTAACTGAATACCACCTTTTAAAAACCACAGCTGATCTGTGTGTGTATCGTCTCACAGGAGTTGAGACGTTTGGCAAGAACGCCGTGGTGTGCGGACGGTCCAAGAATGTCGGGATGCCAATCGCCATGTTGCTACATGCGGACGGAGAAGGTAAGAGGTGGCATCCTTCGATGGAAGGGAGTGAGAGCAAGTATGGTGTACTTTGGTGTATTTATCGCATTGTTATGCTTATCGATCGTCAGGACGCCGTATCACCCATATGCAAATACTCGTAATGTATGAGAATATAAGACGGACTCACCTAGTTGAAAGATAGTGGTAGACTTTTTACGAATACTGGTGTATGTAAGATATTCCCTCACTTGATATCATTCAGCTGGCTTTAGTTTGAAAATCATTGCAGAGTTAGAGTCAAACACTAATTAGTGTTTATTACAGACGCACATTAATGTGCGTCTGTTGTGTATAATTGTCGCTTTTATGTTCTGGACAACCTACGGGCGTGTTATCGTCAAGTCTGAGTTAATTGAAATCTAACCCCTCCTAACAGCCAGGGTATTGACTCTTTCCTACCTATTACTGACCTACCCAGTACCCACCTCCCCCAACAGGTGATACGAACGCGTTTGACGCCACGACCACGCTATGCCACCGATACACCCCGCCGGAGCAGCTGAGGAGGTTCGTCCAAACGGCAGACATCGTGGTCACTGCTGCAGGTGGGAAAACTTGGAGAAGGTCTACAAAACTATAGTACCTACGGCAAACCTAAGAAAGAACGGAGTTAAAGCGCCTGAATCACTTTGCACGTGTTCTGATCACTTGAAATTGCTTGAAATGTATGGTTCGGAGAAATTTGTGTGAAACAAGGCCCTATTGTGTGAAAAAGGTGAAAAAGTTGCGACAGAAAATATGCTCTCACAATATAAATGCACACGCAGCAACGGCCGCAGTACTTTAAAATCCATTCTTTCTTAGGTTTGCTAGATTATAGTGATGTCAGTTTAACTGAGAAACCGATGTCAAACCAAATACCAACCTAAACCATGGGAAAGTACCAAAAAACGGAGCTGATTTGGGAAATCGAGACAAATCACTTCTTGCTCATCTTACAGTAGTCTCTAGTTCTAGTTATGTAGCAAAATTGTCTTGTCTGATAGATCATATGCTTGCTTAGCGTTTATCTAACTCTTCCCTCGCTCCCTTCCAACAGGAGTCGTTAACCTGATCACGGCCGACATGGTAAAACCCGGCTGCTGCGTTATCGACGTTGGTATTAACCGCATCGTCGGTCCGAACGGCAAGCCCCAGATCGTCGGAGATGTGGACTTTGAAGGTAAGGTCGTCGCGTAAAGTTAGGGAACAGCCGGTTTTTCGCTATGATTTTTATCATGAGTATATACCTATCTCGTTCTTTATCGGGTATGTCTCAATACTGTCTTTTGATGTCATGATTTTCAAATAGTCTACTGTTCTCGTGATGGTTATATTCTATTGGTGGATGTGTTTTCATTACAATGTCGTCTTGGCAACCTTCAGTAATCGATTCCATTGAAGGTCTTGACGGCATCGCCATTCCAATCGGTTGCTTCCATTGGCGTTTATACGAGGCAAACATAAAAGTTGACCAATCATTACCTCGTGGAAATTAATACCAGTTTGTTGTTTTCTCTTCAACTTGTCATATTCCAGAAAACCCTCTCACACAGACGCTGAAAGCCCCCTCCCGTGTTTCTCTAGGAGTCCGCCAGGTGGCAGGTCACATCACACCCGTACCCGGTGGTGTGGGTCCGATGACTGTAGCCATGCTCATGAAGAACACTCTCAGAGCCTACAAGAAGGAAGTCAACGAGTTTTAACAGTAGCGAGTGGGTGTTTATAGCAACGAAAAGGCTCAACATTTAGAAACATTTTTGAAGGAATTCTTGGGGAGTGGGGATATATCCAAAACGATGAGGTAAAGTGCCATTTGGATGTCATAGACATCAACCACAACGCCTCCTCATGTTGCAAGACACAAGTCAATAACTCTCAACAACACATGACTTCCATTGCAGATGCAATATGACCTCCGCATTTGGATAAATATTTCATTATCATATTCTGGTTGATGCTTTTTGGATGTGTGCATCATTGGACATTCTTCTTTGGCTGGTCGTCGGCTCGGTGTTAGCAATCAATTGATAGCACTATGTTTATTGTTTATTCGCCGTCAAACCGTCAAGCCATTTGATGGTTCTCAAAATAGCTGGTGAAACTGAACTACTTAAAATGTCGTACCTACTGCATGGCTTTGAACTTCATCAGTTTGCGCCGTTAACGAACGATACCCGCTGAATTATTTTCCATCCCTTTGCTAATGAAATGATGAAATGAAATGAGCTTAAGACATTGTGCTACAAATTTGTATACGCTATGGAAGTGTGTATTTATGTAACTCTTGCCCACACATGCAGATATAGACGTACTTTGCACTCCACTTCTAAAAACCACAGTGTAACCCTCACTAACACAGGTTGTGTCTATCGGTATCAACCGTTACCAAAGACTCGAACATGTTTTGTGTTGTAGGCAATGGTATGACTGCCAATTTTTTTTTTTCGAACAACTTCTGTTTTGTGTCTCATAACTTTTAAGATGTGCTTTGCGGTTTGTGTGGCAGCTGTCATCTCCGAAGGACATGGTTTGAGGATGCAGTTTTTTGTGCTCAATGCTAGATGTTGATTGTTTTCCTGTGATTTTATTCGATAAAACGTCTCTTTTTTAACCCACGAGTCACAATATGCGATATTGTGTGATATCAATTCCTTGAGTTTGGATGTTTTGATATTGTTTTGAGCGATTCTGGTGCAGAATCAAAAACCTTCCATGGCGAGGACCTTACAATTGAGCTTGTACGAACCCGGGGTTCTTCTCAGGCTGAGAAGCTTGGAGCCTGGGTACACTCCAAGTGGTTATCTCATATTATCGGTGAAAGAATCTCCTGAGGTTGGGGTGGGATATGGGTCCTGCTGCCTACCGCGCTTGCGCGGGTGGCGTTGGTGTCTGGTAAAGTTTTGTGATATATGTAACCATTTAACTGGAAGATGGGGTGACGGTGGACAAACAGGTGTGTTTGGTTGGGTTTGTGGCGGCACTCGATGTTTGGGATGTGGTATTTGTGTTGATATGATTACCAACTGGTAACACAATGTGACCAATGCTAACCTAGAGGTGCACCCTTCATACTGTATCACGGTAAATCCCCTCATTGGGGATGCCTGTTTGTATATGTTCACTTGCTTGTGTATTCATCTGAGGGTAACCCATTTTGCACCTCAATTTTCCCGTTTGCTGACCAGCAGAAACACATTGTAATGCAACGTGTGTGCCCCCTGCCCTGTGTTGTCGAGTTTAAAACACAAATGTAATGGAGCATGGAACACAATTTTCTATTGATGCATAAACAAAGTGCAGCTAGAAAGTGAGTGACATGTGATTATCTGAAACACCTTTTCAGGCCATGCTGTATGTAATGTTGTGTGTTCTTTTTAGCAGCCTGGTCTTCCATGCCTACCTATACGGGTTACCCCAAGTGATGATGCGTGGAACCCCCTTGACCATTGCTGAAATATATGTGGCAAAATAATCCTTTGTACTTTTTTTTTACTGCGGTCTACATGTTTGTTTTCTGTTTGAAGAACATACAGAACTGAGCTTGACTGCTAATATTTGGGTGTAGCTTTATTTTCTCGGTGCATGGCTCAGAAATAAGACACGCCCATATTTCGCGTAGCAAACAGAAATAACACAAACACTCATCATAAACATAATTCACGTTGAATAATGTGAAATTACATTTGATGTTACTCAGATTTTTCATATTTGCTTATATTTTCCTTCCTTTTTACAGGCGCCTTTTTTTTGCACAAGCTGAACACGAACGCCTATTTCACTTGTGCCTATATCAATATGCCGAAGCGGCAGCTGGAGCCATCCGTGATCCGCAATTGAGCACGTATTAAATTGCATTACGCAGCGTTCCGTGCCTGTTCTTACTACCTTTCAGCACAGGCAGCACCGTTTTGATCACGTATACATGATTGTTTTCAGACGCTTCACATCCTATGATTAGTGTTTGGATTGTTTTGGTGGAGAAAGAAATGATTGGGTTCCCGGTTAGACGTGTTGAAACGAATTTATTTGGTATTTGACTTTATCGAGAATACAGATCGGTGGCCTTCTCCACAGCGCATATCTGTTCCAGGTTTGGACATTCGCAATATCAGCCCTTGTCGTGAGTCTCGTAACTCGCTAGCAGGTAGACATCATCAAGTTGTCACACTAGCTGTATAACGACGGCATTGATATATTAGATGGCACTGCCAAGGGCCTGACGTCGCCGTCGCTTTGGGCTATACGATTTGAATGGTCATTCCCCATCGTATTTGTGTAGATCTGTTCCGATAAACCATGCAGCAAGCGATGCAGGCTCAATGCGCTAGTGGGTGTGATGAAATGCCTACCCATCGCAGCCTGGAAGCATTTGTGATTATTTTGTAACCATCAAGCGCTTTGTTTATCAATGACTTTTCATGGCTTTCATTAATTAAGCGTCTTGAAAATAACCATGATAGATATCAGCATATTCAATTTGACCAATCTCTCAAACGAATCAAAAGATTTATAAATGACTAAATTGTCATTTCAAATATGTACGAGTATATTCGCGCATGCTTCTCCATCGATCTCAGATATCGGACCCGCTAGCATCAAGGCCATTTTGCCTCCCTTTCAGACATTATCTGGGTTTTCATTTATTCGTCACAGATTCTATCCTTGGCACCCATCTTTTCGCACTCGCTAAATCAAGTAAATAAAGTTTAATAAAGATGGTGAATAAAGTTTGATCAAATTTTCCCCCAAACTGTAGCTGCCGCCAGACGATTGGACCAAAACCTTAGTAGTCGGCCATTAGGCAGTAACCTTACCTTCAGCCATTCTTCTGCAGATCAGCATTTGTTTGTTTGTTTGTTTGTTTGTTTGTTTGTTTGTTTGTTTGTTTGTTTGTTTGTTTGTTTGTTTGTTTGTTTGTTTGTTTGTTTGTTTGTTTGTTTGTTTGTTTGTTTTGCTGGGAAGCTCTAGCTTGATAGTCAGAGCCAAACTTACCGACAAACCCCTCGTACCGTCAAATGATGCATAACGCCCCTTGCCACGCCGCCCTGGGGAGGATTGGGTATAGGCGCGCTCTAAAGCCCCAATTAGCAAACAAACTACACTGGAATATCATTATTGACAGTAGGCACACACAGCACACCACACAAACAGAAAGTTATATTATTGCCACCCCGTGAACATTGAACACCCTTGTAACGGCTTTCTCTGCAGTTTTTACGCGACGACTCGGGCAATGCAAAAAGCCACGCAAAAATGTCCCGTAGCAGCCATGCGTCACCATTGGGCGGAGAATCTTCCGTTGACATAGTCATTAAAACATAGGTAAGTGATCTTATTTATAATAATACTTCATCAGATTCAGCACAATATGCTACTTTATATTCAGTTTCGCCAGCCTGGCTTTTCCGACCCTTTTGGGAAGCATCAGCTAAGATCGGCTGTGCCACTGGGTGATGTTACGGCTCTGGCAACAGACCCGCCATGTTACTATACCCTGTCATTTCGGTCGGCCACGTACTTGTTTCCCACAAACAGAACAGGCATCCTTGAGACGTGTCGAGTTTGAGTGTCGTCTCGCCAGGTCCTCCAACGCCGAACAGAATGGTTTTGTCCTCTATAGGCACAGTGCCTTCGGAAAAAGTGACGCGGACGAATGGAGACGTATCAACGAGCAATCCTGCTGTCCAGAACGTCGATGCCAGATACACAAACTCGCGATTTATCGAGAACGGAATGGATTGGTTGGCGTGCCTGAAGTTGTGCTTCCTAATCTGGCAGCCCGAGGCCCCGGCGGGTGTCAGGACGCAGACGGTGATGTTTTCGTTATCCACGGCCACGGAGATGTCACGAACAAACTCGACACGGGGCCTCAGACGGAACACACAGGCGACTTCTGCGCGGCACAGGAGGCGGATGTTCTCTGACGATGAAAAGGTCTTCCTGATAAACATATACTGGTCAGCCGCAAGACGAAACTGCGCGTCATGAGACACACCTTCCGTAGAGAACAACCACGAGTCGGCTAAGCCGGAATGGAACTTAATCATTGTCAGGAGACTCTCACCCTGAGGCTGAATATCGACGAAGGTGAACGGCCCTATCGTGATGTCAACGCTAGCAAGCGACGGGCAGTCAGTGGTGCCGAAAGTCAGCGTTCCGGTGCACCAGTCCAAATGGTAGCGGCTGTAGGATGTCTTCAGGATATTGGGGGTTCGGACGCTGATCGTCTGGCCGTCGGACAACACCTCCGTCCTGGTGTTGTTATCCACACCGATGTCGATCACTACTTCCTGTCTGTCCGGGGCATCCGAGGTGGCCAGAACCAGTCGCACGGCTCCGGGATGTGTCTCGTTCAGCTTGGTTTCGAAGTCGAGGTGGCAAGTGCCGGGATGAAGCTTCTTCCAGTGCTTACCGGTAGTGTCAACGGCCCATTCTTGCCAGGTGGGCAGACGTAGAGAAGGAGTTACCTCCCAGTCTACATCTCGGACGCATTTATTGCGCACGCAAGCTATGGTGCTGTCAATGGCGATGAGCGAAGCACAAGCCGCGTCAGACGCACAGAAGTCGCCTTCACTTGAAGCCATACAACTGGTCGTGCAGTATCCACGCTCGGAGCAGCTGGAGTCGTGCCAGATCGGGCTTGACTTCTCTTCTACGACCTCGACGCTAGGATACACGTCCATGTAGTGTATTCCGGTATCCTCCACCAGACTTCTGCTGACGTTCGTGGCAGCGGCAGAACAGACGCCTTGTTCAAACAGCTGACACAACACCTGACCTGCAGGATCACGGCTGTATTGAAGGGCCTTGCAAGGGGGATCGTTTCGTCCACACGCGGCCAGACATTGTGTCACGCTACTCACGTGTAGGCTGTGAAGGACAGGCTCACCCAACATGTGATGATGCTGGCGTCGCTCTCCATAGCCCCTCATATCTACTGCAACGCCAAGTAGGCTTTCAGTCATCAGCAACAACAGAACCAGAATCGACCTCGTCATCATCGCCTTGGCTGGTCTCGCCATCGCAAATGCGATCAGCTCAACCCCAAGTGATGATTGTAGATAACCAGTATGGAATCTCTCTCTGTCACTTTCTTGAGGGAGAGCGATACGCGAGTGACTTGTTTCGACGCCTTATGTTGTCGACCTCTCACCAGCGCCAGCTCGCTAAGGTGAACCACGTTCGAGGGGCGCTGCTTTATACCTGCGCACAACCGATGGAGGCAGCCTGGTCCGCCGGTCGCTCGTTTGTTAACGACGGCACGGATGAGCTAGGAACGACGGTACGGGTGAGTTAGGGCCACTTGGGGCGACGTTTGTGCCAGCTCTGTGTTCGGTACCATGGCGGCACCTGGTTCACGTCGCCTGAATTTCGGCACGCATGTCGTGGAGCACATTACGCGAGTTATGATAGGTAATGCAAAACGGTGGAGGGTGTGTGTTGTTATGCCACCCTTTGTTGAACTTGCGTGATGTTAGAATCTGATGACCGAAATAAGAAGTTTTTTTTTTAGCACGCTTTATTATGAATTTGTGTAAATCAATTGCCATGAAACTCTCAATTCAAAGAGAAAACATGAAGAAGGAAGTGCCAGCATGCAAACATGAAGTTCCGATACATTTGGCAATAGCTATGACCCTCGCAAGAGGACGATATAATTAGTAGGGATCGGAGTTATGACTCGTAGGCCAAACTATGTAGGTACTTAATGCATTTTTGCCCAACTACGTTACCATTTGATAAAAATGCAAGAACGCTTCTTCATGCTAATTCATCTTTTTTAAGTTTATTTGTGTTTATTACGGAAAAATTGCTGGGAACATCGCCTTTTTTCCAGTACCAAGGTATGTGGGAACCCATACTGTTTTTTATGTGCACAGCATTTCACTGTTGCCTGCACATCCTATGCAGCAACTTGCACATCCTATGCAAGTTGCAGTGATGTCTGGTAACCTGACCTCGCTCGAGCTTTCGCATTTGTGTGGTAGGTACTTCTGTCTCAAGCTTTGTATATTTCATTGCTAGCCTATATGTTCCTTGCACCTTTCGTTACTGCCATCAATTTACAGTCATCAGAAGCCTGCGTTAACCATCTCTAGGAGGAGATTGATGGAAGTCATGCCTTCTGGGGCCTGCGCACGCCCTTGGAGGTTCTGGTATATTGGTACGCCTTCCCGGTGTATGCTGGTATAAACTACTAACTACTGCCTTCTGACTGTGTGACTTAACCATAGCTGAATGCATGCATATGACAATCCGAGTACCGATATACCGTTCCATTTAAAGAAACATCGGAATATACTGCTACCTATCGACTTACCTACCGTCGCCTATCGATTGCTGCTGCTCTGGTTTCAAGCATCTATCTTGTTCAGTGTTCACGACTTGCAGTTTGTCATTGGACGTTGCTTCATGGCTCGCTATCCCTCTGGCTGTAATTGATTTGGACACCTGACGCCTATAGTAGCAATTCCGATTCTGTCCATGTCTGCCTGCCTCTAACCATCATTGCCGCGTGCCTAAAGCTAAAAGAATACAGGAGGTTCATTATTGGTCTGGATCCGCCTATGACTCTGTGTAGCCAAGTGTGTCGATCGATTACCGTGGCCAGGTATGCAGCCAGACGCGACATTCCTCACTTGGATCGACCGGTGACGGTATTGTGGGAAAGGGGAGGGGCATGGGGGAAGGGGAGGCGCTGTAGGAGGGGAGGGGAGGCTATCAGGTAGTGGAGGCATGACGCCCTTCAGGTGCCGCCGAATGCAAGCAGTGGGTGTATTGGCTTGTTTGCATAGGTTTCCTTACTCTTGGCCGACAAAAATTGCGTCATATATGTGGCGTCACTCAGGTCATTACTCACGGTAAAGTTGAGTTGGCTAGATAAGAAAACCTAACCAGGCGGAACCGGATTCAATGTGACTTTGGTCTAAGATCAACACTCAAAATAACTTTCTAAAAAATCCATCGGCGTGTTTGGAAAGAAACGCGACGGCACCCAACATAGGTGCCCTCATGTGCCCATTTTTCAAGATGCTTCGACGAAAGGAATGAGCGTTTAGCTTAGAACCGATGGCTTCAGTTCAGAGTTCAACAACATTCGACCTTATAGGTACCTATCTACCTTATAATTGGATAATCCCATCATCAATTCCAGAGTCTACTGCTGATCAGTTGAACGTAGACTTTGAACAGAGCCGAAGCCTGGCGGCGCACCTCCCTTCCTGGCTCCGCCTCTGCCATTGTGACCGCCGAACCTCCCAGGTGCCGGTCGCTGAGCGCGCCTCTGATCGTCGATTTCGTCGGTCCCGTCGGTCCAGGCGATAGCCGACGGCCGGTCGCCAGTCGGTTGGTGGCTTCGCGAAGGACCGCACGTGAAAAGGTACACGCTGTACTTTTACTTTCTAGATATTGATTCTCGGACTATCGTGGCACGGTGAGGGCGCTAGAGCTAGTGACATTGGCTTCGATGGCCGTTTTGAGTGCAAGAGGCTGACTTCTAATTGGAAAAGTGGCGTGCTACCAGGAATTTCGCCATCGGCTTCGGCAGTCGAGTTTGGACGAGTTCTGGTTTCCTGCCGGCCAGCTGCGGCTCGCGCCGGCCGTTCTCGTAACCACCACGGCGTTGGCAGCCCATCCTCCACGTGGTGACGTCACGGGGGCTAGCACCTGTGACGTCATCACGGCCACAATGGCGGTGGAGACGTCTCCACAAGACGGAGCCCCTCGCGCAGCTCCGCTGGATTTCGATCCCAGCACTCTGACGCACGCCTATCGGCGACAGACAGCAGTTGAAGTTCCTGATGTTGCCGCTGAGCGGCGCTCTATGCCACCCATTACCCGATCCAATATGGCGGCGCGGCGCGATCTGCAGCGGTTGATTCGAGCGGATGCGGAGTGCGGCCGGCAGAGACCGCCGACCCCGGCGAGACCCAGCCTGCCGCAGCTGGACACGTCAGTTCGTGGACGTGCTGGAAGTCCAACCAGACGGGGAAGCAGGTCCAGGTCTGAGCCGCGGCCGACCGGACAGCAGGAGGAAGACGACTTTGATCAGGTGAGGACTGACGAGGGGTAAATGGGCTTCAGAATGCTATTATTCTATTAAGCTGTTAACCATTAAGAAATAATAGGAATACCTATTTTTGCTCTTAGTTTTCTTGCATGACTATGCTTCTTTGTTTGCTGTTTCTAAGAAAGCAATAAATGTCTTTGTGTGTTCAGCTATTCACAATATTTATATTTACTTATCGATGTTCGAAATCAAATAATATATGCTTTCAAAAAAGTTGCTATGCTGTATCTAACAAAATTTGCATCTTTTCAACAGGTCACTGACCTGCTGGACTGCAGCGTTCGTAGCGACGGCGGCGGCTGGCGTTCAATTCGCGCGCGCGGTCTAATGACGTCAACTGGTGACGAGAGTCCGTCGGCGGCCTCAGCGGGCGTTACACTGCCACCTATCGGCAGTTCGGGGAAACAAACTCCCGTGCAGCGCATGAACCGTCAGGAGACTCAGAAGCTGCTGGCGCAGGCGAAAGTCAACCTTCAGGCCATGGAAACGGTCTAATGTTGTCATGTTTCCTTTCGGCCCAATTCTTAAGCTTGACGCTGGCAGATGAGATGTCCTCGACAAAATCCTGTCGAAGTGACGTGCTATCATCTGGACTGTGATATGACATCACTCGAAGGTGGTGAATGCTCCAAGACATCGCATACGTGTGAAGAGGGCGAATAGCAACGACTTCAAGATGTCAGAATAATGGTGACAATCGCTGACTGTTGATAACTTTGTGCTTCTGAGAGTTGTGCTGTGACGTCAATGAAATGGTAGTGACGTCACTGGTATGGTGACGATCTTCAAACCACAAAACGGCAAAAAGTAACATGTATTTCGTTATTACGTAATTGTGTGTAGCCTGAAGAGTGAAAACTGTTGTCGATGTTCTCAAGACGGAGAACGCTCATGCTATCACAACTTCAGTGTTAATCAATCTTTGCTTCTGTTTATATGCACTTTCCATACGATCTGTATTTACCTTTCGTGTTAAATTTGCAAAGCCTGAGTGCCGTTAAGTGTGATTGCGATACTGACGGCCGCGACATGCCTGCTCTTTGTCCGAGTATGCATCTGTATTCCTCTGGTGTGGAGAGGGCCCTGTGAAAATGACACCGCTGCGACTCCTGGTGTGTTATGTGGATTGTACATAAAGTGATTAAACAATCAGCTCTGTCGCTATCTTGTCTTATTCGTGACTTTTGTAAGCTCGGCCCATAGGTTTGCCGTGGACGGTTCAAGAGAATTGAGGATTATAGTCAAGATACCAAATAAGAGTGAGGTGTAACGAATACTTTGATGAATAAACGAGTGCTGAAATAGTCTGAGATGGGGTCAAGCACCATCGGCTCATGATTTTTTTAGAACTTGATTCCGCACAAAATGCGTAAAAAAATACATTGCAAGTTGCCGACATTAGTCAAGAAAGTATCAAGCCGAGGTAGTAGAAATGTAAACCAGTTGAGAAACTGTGCACGAAATACCTAACCAGCGTGGAACCCGTTTTAGCTCACTTGAAAAACAATGAAAGAACTACCTCAAAACTAATTGTATAACAGTCTAGAAACAGTGTAGGAGCCAGTATAGTGCCTAATGGTACACCGTCTTTCCGTCACGGGCGGTCAGTCTGTTTGGCACAGGAGTGATGCCGGTCGACCGTCTCACCATCATTAATGCACGGCCCGGTAAATAAGTGACCCCGCGGCAGCACGCGCGGCCTCCATCACCTTTCGATCAGCCCCTCTAGACGGGGGGGGGGGGGGGGGTATCGCGCACGACACAAAGGCATGTCAGTGCCACCACGGGAACGGGAATACGGACAACGACAATGGCATCGGCGGTGCGAAACAAATGTAATAAAACAAGAATGTGCAGATACAATAACAACAACTTTACGGAGATCAGTGTAATTCGGTGAAATGATAAGCTTAAATGTAGTCTTAGGAGCTGTTGTGCTCAATCAATGCACTCAAGAAAGTGCGCCGCACACTGTACACAAAAAGAATTACGTAAGACTGAAATAAGTGTGCTGATCGCGAATGAAACAAAGCGGTTTTCGCGCAGCTAGTCTAGCAACTAGTGGTTATAACCATCAAAGCTCATCACCAAAGCTGTCAAAAATATGAAGTACAACTTTATCCAGTGCTTCGGGTCCTTGCCATGCTCGTTTCTGATTTATTTTAAGTCATTCGATTCGCAAAAGATTATGTAAAACAAACTTCATTTTTGTAGATACCTACCCATAGGGAGAGTCGTTTGGACAAAAATGTACCTAAGACACAGTTAATTAACTTGTGGACTAAAGCTTAAAACTTGATGATATTGCACCTAATGGATGATATTATTTTCAAACAAATCTATCTGCGTGCACAGATATCTCATCTGGTGATTCAGGAATGATCATTCAATTTTAGGCGGGTTTGACTTACCTACCTACCACCCGAATTCCTGGAAGGTGAATCGCTGTTTCAAATCCAATATTCCGGCTCGAACCAGTATTCCACGGGGACTGTCCAAGTCAATTGCTGGCCCGGGGTCATCGGACATTCCACATAGGTCAAAGGCGCACTTCTGTCCCGGTATGTCGGGCCAGTCTGCTGCTGATATGGTGGGCGATCAATACGTACAGACGTCACGAAACTCACTGACGTTCGAACGTCGCCAAGCTAACGTTCGGACGTCAGCTGCGATACTGGCGTCAAAAATATAGTAGACGGGCTCATGTGGTTTTCTCAAAAACTTGTTTGAATCTATAAACGTGACTTGCCGGTGTGGGAATGTCACGGACTTTCCCAACTTAACGCTTCTTCCCAATTTTAATCTGTGTGAATTGAACAATGAGTGCCATCACACCACCACGGTAATTGCCATCCCGTGTAAACGTTCAAGGGATTTTTATGTCCTTAGAATATCTGGTGCGATTTTTCTGGTGGTTTGTTAGTGCACAACAGAAAAAATGCATAGATGTGAAGGGCGTTTTCTTAGCTACCTACTTCGGTTAAGCCAGCCCCTAACCTAAAATCAAAACGCACCTAAAAAAATTCGTGAGATTTTAGATACATCTACAGCACCAGCCATCAAAAGCAAGCTCAACACTATGGGTATCGCGAGGGTTCCTCACTGTTTTGGTGGCTTACGGGCTCCGTTACCAAGTGCCTTTCGACGTGGGTAGTTTTTTCCGATCCCGGATATCGGACTCTCTAGACAGCCCGCCGTGAGTGCCGAATCATTCGCCAAAGCGGCTTACCGCGCCGGTGATGAAACACTGTTCTCAGAAAAGAACAAATTGAAGTGTTTTTGGAAGCTGCTTTTTATTGACAGGGAAAGGTTTGTTTTACTTTGCCTAAAACAAGGATGCTTTGCCTGAAACCATACCGCTTTCACGAAACATTGAATTGTTTTAGCCCTTTAGTTCTTTTTTGTTTCCTTACAGGTTTTGGTTTGGCTTAGGTTTTGTCGTTTTTCTCCAGCAAGATATTTGAGTAGCGAAAGATGTAGGAAACAATCGCGAATATATGAAACATTTTAAGGCAAATTTAAATATTTATTTTTCTTTATTCTCTGGAATAAATGTTCACTTGCAACGCTTATTGCTATCCAGAATCCACACCTCACACATATTAGAGTCAGCTGCCTATGTCCGACTTTGATTTATTCTTTAATCGAGAACACCAAACAACTTATCTTCTCTCGACATTAAGAAATATCCAAAAATATATCCGTGACTTAACGAGGATGAATAATCCACTACTAAGTGCTCATCGCAAGAAGCTTTGGCCATATACATACTTAGCCATACTTAGCCAGTCAAACCACTGCATCTTTTATTGCGTTCCTTCCAATGCGTCAACGATAATGGTTATGTTGGCCGTGGTATACTTAGGTATTTCCCAGCGATGTGCAATAAGACGTACCTTTATTGAAAGCGAATGAAACATATGCGTGGTTTACATGTTGTTGGAGCTGCACCTATTGCTTCGATCGTAAAAAATGTTATTTCCATTCATTTTATCTAAGCTCGACCAATGTTATTGGCAATATTGTTAGGATTCTAAAGACTGCAAGAATGATGTTGGTTCATAGGATGCTGGTAACCCCTTGTCATAATTATGTCGTTCTCTTTCAAGAGAGCAATGCGCATCACTCAGCTTTACCTTCTGCGGCAGCACACACTGTAAATAGGCATATCGATTGACCTGCTATCCCTCAATCTCTACGGGAGCCGGCCGCGATCAGCTACGTCGCAGGCAGTTGCGTGCCGGCTAACGGACATATGTTATTCAGGAGACAACAGCCGTGAGTCATACCGATCCACGAAATTGTGTTGACATTCGCGAACTTTCCAAAACGGTGCTTTGCAAGATTCATCAAACACAGCAATGTGGCGTATGGTGGAGTGGAATTGGTGCCACTGTTTTGGTTTCCTGGCGACAGGGAAGAAGAATGCAATCGATCGAAGCTCGAGAGCTATCAAAGCTTCTGCTCACCTGGCGTCGCTGCAAACATTTTAGTGTACTGTGCTAGAGATATTTGGTCGTAGAGAGATTTAGAGAGATAGATTTAGATAGATATTAGTGGTTTAACAAACGCTGGCCGTATAATGTGACAATATGCTGAATAAACGAAAATATATCTGCTGTGCGATGCCAATCGGGTTTGTTGTGGCATTATTTTCGAAATGTGATCACGCACAAAAGGATACAAATTACAGAATTCACCTTCTCCTTCGAGCGCACGGCAGTCAGAACGGGGATTTACCGTTCTAGCTGACAGAATGGCGTGGAACGTGTCACATCATCAATATAAGATGGTATCTGTTGTACCTCGTGAGATAGGGTCTAACTGAACTCAGACACGCTATTGGCCGTGTCGAGTCGAAATCACTATCCTAATGTTGGCTGTGAATCGATCACATGGGCTGAACTGAATCAGTGATAAACATTTGCTTTTTTATCTAGGTGCATACACATCAGTGTTTGCAAATAGCCTAAAACCAAAACTTCTTATTCTTCGGACGCGTTCATGATGGATATCTGTTTTTAGGAAGACTTTTTGAATCAGCTGAAAATGCTAGGTGACAAAATGCTGATATTATATACATTTTGCAGCATCATTTTTTTTTTTTTTTGGCGCAATCGTGCTGACTTAGTAACGAAAACATTCTTGTTAGTCTAATATTATGTATTTAAATTCAATAGAAGACTAGCTTATGCAAACATGTACACTGTACATATTGCTCTCAAAATCCAGATGCACTTAAGTGATGAGTAACGAATGAGTAACTACCACCGGGGGACTGACCTGGTGCCTCACACACGAGCCGGGGGGCCCCACGTGACCCACCCACGCGCAGCCGTGTCCGCGCTGACATATCGGTGGCCGAGCTGTCAGATGGGAGCAGCCAGTGGCGTCACATTGCCCCCTTGCTAGCTGTCACGGGCCGGACCCGCCGCCGACCGTAACACAGGTGTTGCACAGGGTAGCGTACTTTCCCCTGTGTTTTTTTTAAGGGGAAGGGGAGGGGTTGGTTGATGCATACTCATAGTATGGGCTATGTCATATATGTACAGTATACACACCCGCTTTTTCTTTTTTCGTCCGTCATTATGAAAACTATGAAGCATCGCATATAAATGAAATCACAGTAGGTACTTGGTTCGGGTTAGTTGCAAGAAAAAAAAACTGAAAAGTGAATAATGCGGTATGTTGCCGCTACCAAGGCGTTCATGCTCAAATGATGTCTACAGTCTATGAAACATTTATTATCTAGATCAAAGCTCGTTAAATGTGCTTCAGTCTAAAAGGAGATGTCAGTCTGTCAAGGTATATTTATATAAGGTGCCTTTATATAACTGTCTTTCTCTTATCGGACGCCAGGTCAGGTCGACGACCCCCGCCAATCATCGACCACTTCAATGCCGTTGGCGTGACACCCAGACATGTCAACACCGGACTCCAAGGGCGAAACTTTTTCATAGTCTGAAAGTCAGGGGGATTGGTGTGAAACTGATATCCAGACACGGTAGAGGGTCACGGCTGGGCTCAACAAAGTAACCAGTCTGGTGCCTCGTTTAGCACTGCCACTTGTGTCTCGAATGGATTCGCCGTCGGCTGTGGTCGGTTACACTAGCGTCTAGACGGACTTGGCTTGCGAAATACACGCAGTGCTAATGGCGTCGGCTGTTCATAACAAGACAAATGTTTTAGTCGTTTGCATTCCATTTAAATGGTAGTCTTGGAATGGTGGTCGGGGATGGCGCTAAACGTGTAAAATGTACTGTTCACTGCCTGCTCAATGCTCACACTACCACTTATAGGCTGAACAGGCACGTGAACACTTACCTGAAAGAAGAAGAAACAGAAGTGGACTATTACTTTTCACTACAATTAGACGCCATGCACGCTTTTATCATGTGCGTTGATGGCCGAGCCTTGCCTTATTTCCTGGATTCATCTACGCCCAGGGTGGAAATTGCACTGCTTACAGGTAATGACAACATGTGACCAGTGGCGGGTCCAGGGGAGGGCAAAAAGGGCAATTGTCCCTCCCAAACGGCAAAACTGTAACATTACGCCTATAGACAGTGCATGGAAAGAACCACGATACTGTTATCGTTAATTTGCCCCTCCCAAAACTCTGCAGCTGGATCCGCCAGTGCATGTGACATTTCATTTCACATTAAAGCTCTAAATAGCTAACCTAACTACTTTCGTGAAAGCTGAACCTACCTGTAAACCAACGGTAGGTAAGTAAAACACCTGCTAACATGGAATCCACTTTGCTGACTAAACTCCAACAGCTACCACATGCTTCAGCAATATGACCAGTTCGACTCATCTATAGGTACACTCGAGGGCAGATTGATGTTCCACTACTACTTTCGTGACTCCCTACCCATCGGGCTTCCATGGCTCAGCACTGGCTGCTGCCAGTGTTGCCTGCCTTCAGCTTTGCTCAGCACTGCATGCCAGTGCCAGCCATTGGCAGCAGCCAATGCTGAGCCATGGGAGCCCGATAGGTAGGGAGTGGCGGAACATCAATCTGCCCCCGAGTGTACCAGACATTTACTCTGTCATGTGGCCGGATATGGCCGTAGGGTCAAAGGTGACTTACATCAGGGCGCCGCCGACGGGCTCCACTGAAGGTCAAAGTGTGATGCACTTTTGACACGGATGTCATTGGTACCTATACTGTAGGGCGTATTGCCATGGGGCACTACTATTAGTTTGACTCAGACGACCTTGAGGTTTGATGTCGACCGAACTGTTGGGTTGTAGAAGTTTAGGATTCTAGGCAGGCAAGAATCGGTACCGAAATCAGACCCTCCTATGATGAGTTCCATGTAATGACACGTATAAAACGAATAACTCATCGATACATCTTCACTTATGTGGAGAACTCGCGAAAAAGCTCTTTTATATTAGCTTTGGGCCGCCCGTAAGGAGCCTATTTTTGTGTTGTAAGTCAACCTAAAACGTCATTGTATTTACAATTCAAGTTTTTAGGAATGTTGTTTGATGTATAGTTGCAGACGTTTTTAAGTCGTGTCGTGAGCCTATTATGTACTGCCACATGAAAATAAAGAGATCGATAAGATAAACGGTATGTTGCACATTGCCAGCCTGAAATTACTTTGCAACTGCAAGGCGCCGGGCGACAAGTCAGACTCCCTCGTGCATGTCTCATGTTCCCCTTCTGTCTCCTCTACACCCAAGGTCCCATATCTACATTCTACACTGCAGCAATTGCCGGGGTCCGGCAGCCTTGCCCTTTAATTGAGGCGCCAGTGCGCCAGTGAATGTTCACTGGACAGAAGACCGGATGTTTCCACGTGAATCCTAGGCTGCCAGATTTAAACGCGTTCCCAAAAAGAAGAAATTATATGAGGTAGAAGCAAGGTAGAAGTGCAGGTTTTCAGTGTAGGCAGTTTTCCATGCCCTGTCAAGGCCATTGATGTTCACATGAAAAAGACGTCGAAAAGAAATTAGTCATAAGCAGAGTACACGGTTATGAGCAAACAGGCACGGTTGAAAAAAAGAACACGTTCACATCAATGACGAACATACGACTCGCATAACATTCAAAGTTAATGGAATAAGGGACATGAGATGTTGAAAGAAACTATGCCTTGTCATAAACTATTCTAAACTGAGTACATTGATCAACACTCTTGTATTCATTGTTCATTTTTACAGTTCTTCAATCCTGATTGCAGCCTGGGTCAACCCAGGTCCTCTTCATTATTATTTTGTTCAGTATCTTCACGGGCATATAAATCAATTTATAATTCGTATCTTTCGGCCACTGTTACATTTTTAAAACTTGCAGGCTACGAAAAGCTATGGGGGGGGGGGGCCTGGAACAATTCCAAATAAATACGTTGCAAATTGCAAACTTAATCAAGCTCCAGAACCCGACCTGTCCGACTCTCAAGTGTCGAAAATGACGCTAGGACGGCTTGCTTCGACCCGGACTCTGTCATCACAGCTGCAAGTTGCTTCCGAGTTCCGAGAATCACCATTCCTCGTGAAGCTCAGCTCTGCAAGGGCCAGCACCACGTACTTGTGTTGAGAGGGCTCCATGAATGTTTTCTATCTTAGTGACTTGCCAACGCACCGTGCATTGTGAGTCGATCGCTTTGGAGCTCCACGGGTCTCTGGTTCATGTCTCGCTTTTTCTTCTTTATCGCACCTTCAGCTGTGTATTCTGTCTCACCCTTCCTGGTGGTTCATAAGGCGCTGGTGACGGCAGTCACAGCCTCTGTGCAGAGCGGGTCCTGGCTGCCGTCTCCGCCCCAGCAGAGGTCACCCGGGTCACCGGTCCAAACGCACATGTCGTGGACCTGTGCGCACGGGTCAGTGGTCATTGAAAAGAGCAAGTCTATATACCTAATATAACACCAACTCTCGTTAACTGCTAAAGTACAGTTAACGCGATTTGTAAGGCCATAATATACATATACCATAAATCACATATAATAATATAATATACTATGAATCACAACGTGATTCTTCCCTAACAGTATTGCTGTTATAGAGTCTTATAGAAGAACCAATTAGAACATTCACTTAAGTGGCAGCATTGGTGATGACTACCACACAAACAAACCTATATATAAGAGGTGTAGTTCAAGGTCTTGCGTTTGCGCCCTCGGGGCTGTGCGTTTGCGTCTCTCACCTCTATCCAGAGCCGTCTGTAGTCGGGGACCTCTGTCAGCTCCACATCCTTGACCCCGGCCGTCATCAACGCCCCTACAGAAGGAACAGTGCAGAAAACAAGACAATACACACTCTTCAGAAACATGTGCTTTAGTTGATCCATATTTATGCTGGTATTTTTATCCCTTGTGAATTCATTATTTATTATATGAGCTCGAAAATGAGAAAGAGTTACAAATAATTAGTCCATTCATAAACCTTTTATTTCTGCCTGCTCGCTAAACAAACTAAATAATTAGTTGATGATTTATATCAGTATCCAAAAGCAAAAGATTTATACAACTATAATAATGTGATACCTATTGATCTGACTGCTACGCAGGTACTTACTAAGCAGGCCCTGAAGTCGTGCCGGTAGATGGTGAAGGCCGCCCAGAATCAGAATCGGTCCCAGGTAAACCTTAACCGCCGGGTCATATGAACAATCGGTCATTTTAGTCTTTGTTACTTCCTTGGAACTCGATGCCACCTTTAAATTGAACAAGCACTTCGAAATTTAAAGAATGCATAAAGAATTTGAAACAGAACCGAATGTTGTACCGAAATTTGCACTCAGATTACGCTGAAATTTTAAGTACGAAGCGAAATAACTGGGGAACAGAAATGAATGAAGAACGTTGTGTTGATTTTTCCAAGTGACAATCTCGTGACAAAGTGTTACAGGATGCAAGAAGTTGGGAGGCCCAAGGAATGTATGAAGTGAACTTTCATGTTAGCACACCATCATCTTCACGCAAACGGCATGAGATGGGAAGAGGCGGCAAAGAAAAAGAAGAGAAATATGGAGGAGTCTCACTTTAGGATGAAAAGAGGTGTAGCAAGATATTCCTTCTACGCAAAGAGCTCCGGAATCTGAAGAATCCAACGTCGAAGATCGTTCATAACGATCGTAATCTTTAAGGGGTCAGTGGTCACTGATTGCATGATGATGAATTAACATTCGACACTTGTCTGATATGAGACCGTCGACATTGCTATGACAATACAAATAATGAAAATGCTTGGGGATGATATAGCAACAGCAATAATGGGAGAGAAATAACGACGCAAATAATATGCCTGAGAAGGAGAAACGCACAGGTTATGTGTGGAAATAATAGATTGTAGCTTAAGAAGTTAACGATGTTTGAAGTGCCATTCATGATTCATCATATCGTCAGGGGCACAATATACAATTCCGAATGAGTCGGTGAAGCTGCAAAGGTTGGACTGATCAGTGATCACTTATTAAGCCCGGTCTAAGCTTGAAATCTAATAAGTAGCGTGAATGGGAATCACATCATTCTACAGTCATTAGGAATCTGAAGTGATATTGACAATGGATGGACGGACGAACTACTGCAGGTCGTCCTGCAATCGCTGATCTATACTGCTGATCGCAATACTGCTGATCGCTGTGAAATGAACGCCTGAAATATCTTTGCGGCCTGAGCTTACAATGTAGTGCAATGTCCACGTGGAGCTACCTACCTACTTTACGAAATCTCTCCGACGTTCTACACACCAGCCCGTGTTTCTGAGCAGGGTTGCAGTGTGCAGAATCACTCCTGTCATTTGGCGGCCGCAATATGACCCGCTTTGTGGGTGCACGAGCCGACGGCCGGCCGTCTGAGTGACAGCCATCGTGCGCGCGGACCTCGACCTATGGCCCTCCGGCGGGCGCTGTCACGGGCCCCACGGCGTCACACGGCTGTCACAGACACGGCCGTTACGCCCACAGGGTCTGGCCGTGGCGGGATAAAACGGCCCCCTGCCAACCGACAATCGCAGCTCCCTGCCAGCTCGGCTTCGCTCACACATCCCGCAGAGTTTCAGTCATGCTGCGACTTCCGCTTGCTCTCGCCCTCCTGTTGGCGGCCTCCGCCTATGGAAACGTCCTCTTCGCTCGCAGCGGCTGCGGCTGCCTGCGCAACCCCGTCGCCGCGAAGCTGACCGGCGAAGAGATCTCCCACCTGCGCGGCTACGTGAAAGAACGTGGTGTGAAACACTACGACGTGCTCAGCAACGATGCCCTCCAAGCCATCTTCCGCTTCAACCTCATCAACAACTTCCCGGACGTGGTGCCGGCGACACGCACTGGCGTCCTCCAGATCATCAGCGAGTCTCTGAACACGCTGACCGATGCCGTGGTGCCCAGTGTACCGCAGTGTGGGAAGATCGCTGGATACCTGCAGAAATCGGTCCCTGGCCTGGCGGCGGGAGGCGTCAGCCTGGACCTGCGCTCGCTGGTGGCGTCAGCATCGGTGATCCTGCACCAGCGGGGTGTGACGGTGAACCTGGAGCAGCTGAACGTGCTGCTCAAAAGTGGACTGGCTGCATATCTGCAGTCGACCGCCTACCAGGTGAGATTGAGCGCGGTGGCTCAGTAGCCCCCGTTACAGCGGCGTGGCTAGTGGGAGGCATACATGGGAGGCCCTTTCTAAGTTAGTGAGAACGTAGGGTATTGTAACTTTGCTATATGGTATTTCCTTTCCAATTGCTACATACTGGCTTGAAAAAACGCTGTCCTTACAAAAGTTCTTTTGGGCGCAAAATGACCATCGCAGTCGACGCGCCCGTAAACCCCAATGAACGAAGGAACAAAAGTTCTTTCTTCATTATTTTGAAAAATTATCCTGACATTGCTGCTGTATAGCGTCAATTGAAGTCTGCAGCGAAGTTGGCCTCCGCACCAATATTAAAAAGCCATGACACTCTTGCGCCCCTCGTTATTCGATCGGATCATAATGAAATAAAGGGTAACGTTACCCAATAAGCGTAACACTGCGTTGGCTGTTCAAAAGAAAATGCGACAGCATTGGGCGAGTTTCGGTGCTGCATAGCCTTGGTCGTCAATGAATTGGGATCATTTTGCTGTCAACTTGTCACGATTTGAGTGAAACAGCCACAACCACTGTTGTGTGCCAATGTCAAAGCTTTGGTGCGAATTTACTAAAAACATTAGGTCTTTCGTCAGCTCGGTCAAGTGTACCTAGTTAATAATGGAACTTGTTATTGAAGCGAAACAAAAAGTATTTAATAACTAATTTTTCATTAACTAATATGACATTCAAGAATGTGTTCGTGCGGTTCCGTGTAATTGCCATGAGGCTTATCTACGGGCATTCCTATTTTCCCCATTTAAACTGTCCATCCAGCCAGTGCAGTTCCGCCTCGATGTCTCATTCTTACAACATGCGTGCGTCTTTTTCAGTCGAGCTACGGCAGCCTTATCCAGCTGATCTCTGCCCTGGATCACATCGACCACAACCTGCCCAACATCCTGGACCAGGAGTCGCTGATTGTGGTCCGTCGCGCTCTCGAGTCGCGCTTCAACCTCGACCGCGAGATCTTCGACAACCGCTACAAGCTGGCTATCAAGGTGAGTGTCTGTCAGCTGAACGCTGCCGCAGAGGTAGACTGTAATTTAATAGAGAAACTAAAACTGGTGAACTGCGAGAGAATCATTCAGTTAACAGTCTGAAATGGGGCAAAAGACGTTTTCTTGCCTGTCGGTATGAAACTTCAGGAACGTTATTCGTTAACATTAACTTTAAATCTCTTAATCTACGTTGACAGTTGCTAGGAACTTACGGCTTGTGCCGGATGCCTTTACAGATATTTCATTAATCAATGTGCATTCATTCATTCATTCATTCATTCATTCATTCATTCATTCATTCATTCATTCATTCATGCATTCATTCATATATGAGTTTATTGATTGATAAATGAATCGTTTAGCAGGCCTGGCATCCTCATTGCACCCTTTATTTACATGTCATAATATTTATTTACATGTCTTTTAGGGCATCCCCTTCTAAATCTGTTTCCAAAACTGAGGTGCTGACCGACCTTTTAATCGACAGGCCTTCGAGGAGAACCGCCGCCGTCTGTTGGCTAGCTTCAACACTCTGGCGTACCGCGGACCCAACTACGAGACCAATGTGCAGCTGGTGATCAAGCAGATGCTGACCATCTTCTCCGGAATCTCGGCCAAGACCGTACGCATCATCCTCAACATTCTGCAGCTCACCAACTCGTGAGTAACGCCAGGCATCAGAAGCTAGCTGTGCTGGAGGGAGCGTAGTGGCTATAAATGTCACGAAGGTAGTATGCCCTGAAGATGTAGCTGTTTGTAAGCATTGAGCTTTAACATTGAGATTGAGCTTCCACATTGAGCTTTAAAGAATAACGAAACCGATGTGTAGAGCGATAGTTGGGCAGCAGTCTGAAGATTTACCTTCACAGGCCCTCAGATCACATACCTTCATGCGTTAACAGTCTACTTGATCAGTTCATGCTACGCACACATTGCTGACATCCACCATTCCTTTCTTTTCACAGTGCTGGTGGTAAGGCGACTCCGAAGGATCTGCTGGCCATGATCACCGTGCCGAAACTGGACGTCAGCATCCGCAAGATCACCGAAGCCGCCGCCAACCGTGTCTACCTGAAGCTGCCGGAGCATCACCAGGGTCTCACCATCGACGACATCAAGGGGGCCTATTCCCTCTTCATCATCGCCCTGGCGTCCCAGGGCGTCCAGCCTCTGCAACTGGAGGCTACCTACGAGGCCTTCATCTGGCACACACAGCGATTCTTCCTGGTCACGCGCATCTACTCCGTGCAGGCGTATCTCCTCTACGTGATGCAAGTGGTGACGCCGTTGATCCCACGTGGATCTCAGTCCTTCCGTCTTCACATCTTCGACAGCTCCGTTGTCATTGATAACATCCTGGTCCCAGAGGGTCTGGCCAGCATCTACGAGGAGGGACGCCAGACAATCATCAAGCGCATCCGTGGCCTTCAGGGAAGCAGCAGTGACATCACGAACCGTATCATCGGAGGCCAAGGAGAGAAGGGAGTTATTGGAAACGACCTCAAGTTCCAGACCATTGTTCCCGCTGACGTTCCGGGCTATGACCAGTTCGAGTACCAGAACGTCATCCTGTCAGCTGTCCAGATGAGGGAGATTGCTAGCGTCCTGATACAACGCTTCAACCAGCTGAAGCAGCCTTCCCTGCAGCTGTCGCTGATGCGAATCATAATTCACGCCAACGTCATCCCGAACAGTGGTGCCGCCGCTGCTGCCGCCTTCCGCCGTCTGTTCCGTGGACTGCCGGCCTACTCTGGTCCGACTGACCTCAGCTTCGTCCTCACACAGCTGAGCGAGAACCGCCTGCAGCTGACGGAGACCCAGCTGCTCGCCGGCATCCAGCAGTTCTACGTGGCTTCTCGCTGCCTCGGCTACGTCATCCCGCAGCAGACCATCCCCAGTGTCTTCCTGTACACCGTTCGGGAATACCTGTCGACGCTGGCGTCAGTCCCGGCTCAGCCGTTCGGAGATGGATTCCTTGAGTTCCTGTACCAGCGTCTCGCCGGCATCATCAGACAGGTGACGGTGGTTGACCAGAAGGTGCCCATTGATGACTACGTCTCCCAGAAAATCTTCTCGGTGTTTGGCAGCAGCGTGCGTATCAGTGTGGAAGCCAGACGTACCATCATCCGCTTCATCCACAACTCAGACCTTCTGCCGAAAGTTGGGCAAGGAGTGTCGGTGGTCGCCCAGTACCAGCGTCTGCTCAAGTCTCTCTTCAAGCGTTACCCGATCGGCACTTTCATTCTGAGCACCAAGGAGCTGGTCTACATCCGAGCTGAGCTGAAGAAGGCTGGTATCAGCGTTGACATCAAGTATCTGCGTGATGCCAACGTTATGGCCTACATAGGCTTGGGTCTGCTGAACCGTCTGGAAAAGTCCCTGACTGTGATTCGCGTTCGCCAGATTGTGCTCAGCTCGATTCGCTACTTCCTGCGCATCAACAAGGTCAGCAACATCCCGAGCGTGGAGTTCTTCCGCGTCCTGCTGCACCAGTACAAGGTGCCGGTGCCTCAGCTGCCGGTGCCCAAGAGACCCGTCATCCAGTACCCCGAGTACACTCGGGCGCCGATCTACATTCTCTCTGGTATCAGCCTCCCGGTGAAGCAGGTTGAGCAGCTGGTGGTCATCCTCCGAACCCGCTTCGTCTTCGTCTCCATTGAGAATGTGCAGTCGATCCTGGCACACACTGTTCTGCTTCTCCGCGCCAGCGGACAGGAGATCGTGCAGAAGAACTGCTACGAGGTCCTCACGCGCTACTACAGAGGCCTGCCCAAGAGCATCTCCGTTGGCGAGTTTGACATCGAGGACCTCGTGAAGGAGATTGACGACCAGCTGAAGGACGCCACCATCTCTGGTACTGGCGTGCAGTCGGCCCTCGTGGAGCTGTACCTCCACATGTACTATCTGAAGATGCCTCTTCCGAGCGTCAAGGTTCGTGATGGCTTCCTCAGCTTCGTCATCGGTGCTTACGGCAAGGTGCAGGTCCGTCGCCAGCTGCCCTTCGGCAAGCTCTTCTACGACTTCCTGCAGGACTTCCTGCCGAAGCTGCCTGGCTACCTGAAGCCTTTCCCGATCTTTGCCGGCCCGCAGGTCTACAAGGTGTTCCACTCGACGCTGAAGACTCCCGTCTACCCGTCGGACATTCCCCTCTACTTCCAGCTCTTCCGTCGTGTGACGAAGGGAAGTCTGACGATGGGCAGTCTGCAGAGCTCACTGTCTGGCCTCAGCCTTCTGCCGGGCCTGACCTCAGAGGAGCTCTCTAGCATCATCGATTTGGTAAAGGGAAAGCAGCTCAAGGTTAGCCAGACTGAGATCCGCCGTGCCTTTGCTATCTGCCGACTATCTCTCGGTCTCAGCAGTGTCAAGATCTCGCGCTCTAAGCTGATCAGCATCTTCCAGGAGGTGGTGATCAGCATTGTGCAGAAGTACAAGAGCCTGCTGGTTGTCAGCTACGTGGAGCAGATCCTTCTCCGCATCAGAACTTACGGACCCAAGTATCGCCCCGTCCAGCCGATCACACCCATCAAGCCTGGATACCTATGCAAGAACAGCAAGTACATCCGCTGCTAGACGAACTTAAATCGGCTGACGCGCGCTAGGACTATGACTGATGATTCGTGATTGCCTTGCCAGAACTAGACGATATTGCCTTATGCTGCCGCCGTATGTCATCCCCTGTCGGTGTGCGCCGAAGTGGCGCTGCCCAACATCTTCGGGAGCAGTAGTGTTGTATTGGATGTGTGATGTAATATTAATAAAACGATGATGGCACAAGCTTCTGTCTTTGTCGGGAGGCGAGGACACAATGACGTAACATTCGTGGCACGCATGGCAAACGCAGCAGTCGACTTACATAATGCAGAACGCATACTCTTAGGTAGCACTTCCACTGTGAAATTCTTTGTCTAAGGACGCAAACGAATGGGCGCCAAATGACCTCAGTAAACCTAGGACGGCCCTAAGGCCCCGATAAACAACCTGACGAAATGAACACTCGATGAGATGACGTATGCGTCTCCCGCTGCTGTTGTCCTGATGCTGAGGCTCTTCAAAACGAAAATAATGTGGGAGTATAGCTCTGCCAACCACACAGTCACACTGGTGGCTCCCCCGCCCAGTTCGGTGGTCTGTTAGGGTAACTTTAGTTCATGGTTCTACCGCCAGGCGATACTAACTTCGTTAACAATAACCGTGTTTGTGGTCAGCTGATAAAAGCTATTGTGACTTTTTGCATAATATTGTCTGGCGGCTGAAACAGGGCCCAAAAAGAAGGGTCGCATTTTGAAACATTTGTTTTATCATTTCCATAAGTTTTCTGAAACACGTCAGCAGGACACCCCCCGCTGAACAACGAATACGCATACCTACCAGTACAGGCTCTCCTTGCCGTTAGGGTATCGTAGAGCGTAATGCAAAATGTTGATATATCTTACTCACTGTCAAGTATAGAAGATGTCTTGTGGGGCATATTTTTACAAGATTTGTAGCTGGAAAGATGATCGTTTTCTTCAGAATACAGATTCGTCAGTCGCGTTAGTTAAAACTTTTGCCTGAAATACGAGTAGGTATCTCATGGTATTGCTTAAGTCATAGACCTCTGTATACTTTGATAGGCTTTCGAATCGTCGGCAAATGTGGAAATGAATCCATTTAGGAGGTCGGCAATGTCATAAACAAACATGGAGAACAATAGAGCTCCTAAGACTGAGCCCTGTGGCACCCCGCTTGTATACAGAGGTCTATGTATAATTTAATCGTATCTATGCTAATTTCCCGCATTCTGTCGTCCTCGAACGGTACCTCAGATGGACCCCACCTAGCTCATTCTGTCCCATTTATCATTCATTCTGCACGCCACCTAGACTCATTCTGCCCCATTTATTAATTCACGCATGCATCCTTTCTCTTACAATTAAACTGATTATTTTGTTCAAGCATGAGTCCCCTCCTCTCAACACAACACCGATGGCATCCGTTATCTTGTATTTTCTTTTTTGCACGATCAAACAACTACATTCTATCATGCAGGCTGGCGTGTCATTTATTTCGAGACTACATTCCGCATTCAATGCTAGCGACTTTTTATTGCTCGCTTATACACCCTACATACCAATCCAAGCCATTCCATCTAGACTTCTGAGCCAGACAAAACGACAAACGTATCCTGTTCATCGTTCAGCTCCAAACCTAGGCCGGAACCGTCGGACTCTTCAGAGACCGGAAACACATTATCGCTTTCCATTGGATCACTTTCGGCGTGTAGTTCAGAGGAAGCCGCTCCGTCATCAGATGCCTCGAATTCTACTAACGCGACTTCATTTTCTCCGAAACGCGCTGAATCAGCGATAGGTTGCGTGAGTGAATCAGTGTCTTGGCCTGATAGGACAGTTGGGATGGATGACGCAGTTTCAACGCCAGGAGATGTCAAATCGTCTGAACCCCCAGAGCCTTCGACCTCGTCTAGAATGTCCTCCTTTAGTTCGATATTTTGTTTGTCTCCAGGCTTGACTGTCCCGTCGGAGGCATTTTCTTCAGGCGCATTGGTGGATACTTTGTCTTCTTCTGCTGTTTGCGATAGCTGTACCGAAATCGCCGACCCCACGAGATCTGACTTTGCAGTTTCAGATGTTACTTCAACTGATGAAAACGTTGACTGAGAAGGGCTATCGACGGCTTCACTGCCTGTATGATCGACCACGGGCGCGGGTGTGAGCGCGATACTCTTGGGCTCAGTCGTAGACTCGGTCGTGTTCGAAGGCTCTGTGGTGGTAACTGGCGCCTCAGAAGTGGCCTGTACTTCAGTGGTAGTCGCGGGCTCTTCTGTGGTGGCTGGTGACTCAGTGGTAGTTTTTACCACTTCACTGGTGCTCGCAGGCTCCTTTGTGGTGACTGGCGGTTCAGGTGTGATCGCTGACACCTCAGTGGTGCTCAAGGTCTCTGTCATAACCTCGGACACCGTATCTTGTCCTCCGCGCTCCCCCTCATCTTCCTTCAGCTCTGGTGTTGCAGCCTCTACCGCAGACGATCCTTCTTCGACATCTCCCAATCCGGTGGCGACGCCGGCCGTCACAGAAGCGTCCTTGACCTCACCCTCGCCACAGACGACACTTGGACAGCAAACTCCGGGGGTGAACTCGGCCCGGCACCCCTCGCTCTCGTACTTTTCCTGGTTGCGGTCCCAGTCGCATCGTGCTGATACTGCCTGCGAAGGACAATAGCTGGTCAAATTTAGCAGATAACGGCACATAGCTCACTTCACTGGTGCTCACTTCACGTAGTTCTACCATCAACCTCAGGGGGTGAGGTTGATGGTGATAATACACATTACACAACGTTACGTGGGGAGTCTTACACATTTGTCGTATGTAAAAATCCGTTTACAGGTACTGTTTACGAAAAGCACGGCGGATACTGTCTGAGAAAAACACCGGGGTGTCACAATGGGCAATTGGCATGCCTTTCCTAATTATTCGAGTGTTTGCAAAGTGTTGAGACTGTAGCCCGTTACCGACACCTTATCCATCAGACTGGGCGTTACTCAGTGTCCACCGGATCACTGTCGGCACCGGGGAACGCCTGACCCGCGCCTGCATTTCACATTCTCGCGCAGAAACGTGGCTCAGTAACAAATCAGGCCAAGGGCTATAATATAACTAGGTAGAGGTAGGCTATAGGTATAGGTAGGTATAGGCTGTAGGCATAGGTAAGGACATAAGGCTATAGGTAGCTATATGGTAGGTATAGGTAGGTGTGAGAACTCCTTTCAACTCACTACACATCCTTTGCCCGAGAAGCATTTGCAGAAGACACACGGGTCGCTCTCAGAGGGTCCGGTGGCCTCACACGACGCTGCAAAGACACAAATGAACACGCATTAGCTGGTATCCAATAATACTCACGCGTCTTATAACAGCCGTCAATAGCTTGTTCATGTTTGGCTCGCTCCAGGTCAGATATAATCGGAAGGGTACTTGTTCGTCATTCGTCATTGGCTTATTCGTGCTATATTCCTTTCATATGCAATCCACGGCCCTGCACCGTCTTTCAAGAGCACCGCAATAGAGTGCTCAACCAATGCAGCAATCAGTCAACAATTTCATTAATGCCAAGTAAGACTCGAAGGCATGGAACACTGGAGCAGAGCAGGCCAGCCGCCAGAGAGGCCTCAAATGGGTGTGTTGGAAGTGACAACATGGACATGAGACCCGATTAATTATCGGGGTATTGGGTACGTAGGACTAGACTCTTTACAAATGGGAACAGTACCACGGAGGATTAATTGCTGAAGTTTGTTATCCATATCTCACTATTTTGGCTTATTTAATTGCACAATATATTTGTTATAGTTTGCAAAGGTAAAAGAGGAACGCCATTAATGTTTTAACCAAAAGCTACGTTTTATGTGACGATTTTATCCCGATGGGTTCGACATACCAATCGAGAAGGATACAGATCCTTCTTATATCAGCAAGTTCAGGGAACGACACACAAAATCTCTGCGGATTTAAACCACAATCGCGTCTTATACTGGTCTTTACCAGCTGTGGCAATAGCTGTCACATATCGAATGCCTTTAATGGGAATTATGCGTTAAATTATTCAGCATCACGCTTCAGGAATTTCCTGTTGACATAATCCCTCACATAATGAGGTACTTTTCTGGTCAAAAGGATACAAAGTGACTAGGAAGCTATTGCCTGTGAAGCGAGCCATTAAATGCTAAGACTCTTAATAGTGGATTGCCTAAAGATTACGCTGAGAAGGGACTACTGCCGGACTGTTTGGTCTGATTTTGCTACCTGCAGGATTAATTTAAGCAATCACTAATGCTAAGCCTGAGAAATACAGGATATATATTGATTTGAGCTTAGGTTGATGCGTTTATGTTGATTTATTTTGAATTTGCTCGTCGTTATTCATTTATATTTTCAACTATATAGTTTCAACTTTTTATTTTAATTTTTGTTACATTCAGCCGCAGCCATCGCCAAAGTGACGAAAGAATGACATTTTTCTTGCATTGAGTGATGGCCGGCTCGATGATCGAGCTGTGGATCGGTTGGATTTTATTCTGATGATTTACACTCTTGACCTCATTTTTATCGGTATAGCAGGCATGGTATGACGCACCTATCCACTTATCTCGGTGGTAGAATTACCCGCGTAATGTTGGCGGCCTTGTACCAGCATTAAACGGGATCTGTCGCTTTAACCCTAACCGTCGTCAAGCGTAGACATTTACCTTCATAGCAAGACGCATCTCGCGAATCGGTGCAGATGTCCGAAGTCCCCTTCAGAGCATCTGCACCGATGTAATGTTCGTAGTTTTTGGGCCTTGCGCAAACGCATACATAATTGTGTCAGTAAAATTATTACCTTCATGTTAATTCATACTATCAAGTCTCAGAGTACATTTCTAGAGAAATGCGGTATACAAAGAAAAGTCCTAAGGTTGTCAACCACCTACCTCTGCAATGGCCAGTGATCACCGATTTTGAGTGGCATTCTGATCTTATCTGACTCATAATGTGCCGTTCTGTCCGCGATTCTGACATTGTTCCCCATATTTTTAGCGTTACCTATACCTACCTATAGGTAGCGATTTGCAGGTGTTGATGTGGGAAGTGCTGATGTTTGCTATTGATCTGAAGATATGAGCTCTAACCTCCAGCGACCAATAGTTTGGATATGGCCTGAATATCCCAACTGTTAGACCGATAGCTGTCAGCTCATTTCAGCCAAAAGGCAATGGCTCCAAACGCAGCACAATTAAATGAAAATCTTAATTTGAAGCATTCCGTCCATTTTTGAATTACACAAATTGCATACTTACAAAGTCATGCAAACGTCAAGCAACAAGTATTCCCCCCAGCATGCTAACTTTTGTTTTTCAGCACACTTGATCGATTCTTAGAAAAAAAAAATTAGATCAAACATGATGTCATATGTCTAGACCTGATATTCTCACTACCCATGCCTATGGATGGAAAAATTAGCATTGACATAAAGTGCAGTATTTAGCTCCCTTCTAGCAGACTATTACATCACACCTTACCTGCCAATTCTTTTCTCGCTCTGAAAATCGTTGTGACGTCCCTGATTGGAGTTGCTGTTACCGATCCAAGAACACAGATAACCAATATCGCCAACGCTCTCATGTTAAAAGCCTGAGTTTGCAATGGTACGGCAAATGCAGCGAATGAGACAAGAGCTGGACGGAAGCTCCCACGAAGACAGCTAACTCGCTACTGACAGGGGAAGCTACAGCAGGGATCAAGCCTCCATCAAACCCGTCGTCCGATCAGGGATTGAACCTGCAAGGTCGCTGACTGAGACAAGTTTGGTGGCGGTGAGTCAGGATGACGTCTGCAGCTGCTGAAAAACTGGACATCTGGGGAGGGGATTATAGTTGCAGTGGATTATTGGCATTGATGTTCGATTCGAGACGGCGCGGCCGAGGCTGTGGAATCACGCTGCAGAGCACGTTTAAATCGTGCTTGACTGAGCCTTCGGCCCAACGCCGTCCACTAAGAGAATGTGTCATTTTTTACCCTCGCCCTATAGGAGGGGGGGGGGGGTCGAGCGGACCCCCCTCGGTTTTTTGCAAATAACTCGCGTAAAAAGCGGCCGATCCAGACCTAGGACGTAGTGCTTATGTAGCCATATTAAATATTTAACGTTAATCACACATTCGTGGATGAGGCTTGTGACAGTTCCAGCGCAATTTGCCACCAATTAACCATTGGATTCCGAAAAAGGCAGCATACAATAGCAACAAGAAGACTGCCAGCGCAATACCATGTAAGATGGTTGAGCGTCGGACTCCTAAGCGCTTCGATACAAACCACGAAGTCAGCCGTCATTATCGCGTCACTGCCCGAGCGATGTCATGAGACAACGCCTCGGGCGGCCGCGCCGGTCGGACTCGCGAGGGAATGGCTGACAGATGGCGAGCCGGGCCCTGCCGGCCGGACACCTTGGTGTTTGGGGCGGGGCTGACTTATCCAGCAGCTGTTGCCTGTTCTTTGGTGACACCTTGGTGTTTGAGGCGGGGTTAACTTAGCCAGCCTGTAGCAGGGCCTCCTCTAACATACCCACTGGGTGGGCAAATGCCCACCCAGTCACCACAATTGCCCACCCAGTGGCGTCGATTTGCCCACCCAGAAGCAAATGCAAAAATTCTGGTCCGGCCGGACGTCCGGTACTACCTTTCTGGTCTTAAGCAAACTGGAGGCTGTTTGAAGGTAAAAAAAAAAGTTTTCTGGTTGCCCGATATTCAGGGGCGTAGTCAGAATTTCCTCAAGGAGGGGGCCAAACGCACAGGGGCCCAAAATAACCCCCTAAAAATCCAAAAAGCCATCTGGTTGGATCCAATATTTTTTTGGAGGGGGCCCAAATAAATAGAAAAATATTTATTAACAAAAAATATTAGAACTGAGGGGTAAGCAGTCCATGGGCCCTGTTAGATAGGCCCACGAATAGCTTCATAGAGTCGCCAGTCGGTTTTGAGGGCGGTCTGAGGGCCCGTAGGTCGGATGAGGGTTCTTCAGACCGTCACAGGCCCCTACAGCGCATGAGAGCCTCGTAAGCCGTCTGAGGGTCATATAAGCCGCCTAAGGGCCACTAAGACCGACAAAAGCCCTCCTTGCACTTGCAGATGCCCAGTCATGCCGACGGAGGGCTCTCTCAGACAAACTAATGACCCGTTCAGGGCAGTTGAGGGCTTCCTCAAACCGATAGAGGCCCCTCAGATCGACAGTGGATCCGATCCGAGCTCCCTCAAACCGATATAGGGTCAGACCAACAGTCGGAACGCATTGATTCTGTTTACACACCGTTGGACCCAAGTTGGACCCATCCCATCCAACTGGCCCCCTGGTTTCAATAGGGCCCCAAGGCTCTAAAATTGGGGCTCTCTTGGCCAAAGTATAACTACTCAGCTGTGTCAAAGGATCTGCCGCAGGGGCCTTTGCGTCGCCAAGGGCCCACTGTGTCAGCCAGGGCCCCTATAGAATAAGGACCCCTGGCTTCCAGGGGGGGGGGCATGGTCCCTTTGGCCCCCTCCTTGGCTATGCCACTGCAGGTGACAAGCGTTCTTCCAGGCGACCAGGGGGCAGGGGCCAGGCGACCAGGCCCCCAGGCGACTAGCCCCCAAGCGACCGGGGCCCTCTAGGCGACCAGGGGCCCCAGGAAACCGGGGGTCATCGGATGAGTGCAGGGGCCCATTGGGTCATCAGAGGGCCACAGAAATGAAACTTCGATATCAATTTTCTTCCGAGTAAAAGACGTTTTATCCAGTGTTTGAAAAAAAAATATCCCGGGGCCTGAGGGGCTCACTCCCCCATGGCGCGTTTTGCGCTCAAGGGAGGGGGCCATTACCCCCGTGGCCCCTCCCCCTTGGCTACGCCCCTGCCGATATTGTTATTCATGGACAAAGCCAGCTAAATCTCTAAATACGGCTGAGCTAAACAAATAAGCAAGAATCATTACCGGTTCGGGTAGCCTTTACTACAATGTATTATGTTAGTTAGCCCTCGCCCGGTGAGGGGGGTTGATGCACCCCCCTAAGGTTTTTCACAAATAACGTAAAAACGGCGGCGCTCAAATTTAGCATACCCTCTGGGGCAACCTTTTGGCACTTGTCCTGAAAATTTCAGGTCTCTAGTCTTTTCAGGTCAGGTCACCAGGTCACAAACCCCGTACAAGGTCAGGGGAAAATTGGACTATGTAGTTTAGCGGCAACCGAATGCCAGAGTTTTTCGTTGATAGCGTGAGTTCTATAGCACGTAGCGCTACCAAATTTAACCCTCGCATGTGTAGGGGGGGTCGGATGGACCCCCCATGATTTTTCGCGAATAACTCGCGTAAAAAGCGGTCGATCGCAATGAAACTTTCAGTACCCTCGCATTGATCAATTTTACACCTACCCTGAAAATTTCATGACCCTGACCCAAATGACCTTTGACCTGTGACCTCTTTTCCGAGACCATGTTTGGCCGGAATCGCGATTCCGCGTATGTCGGCTCGCATTAGCCGCGCGTTTGCAAGCTTTTCGTGGTTTCAAACGTTCAAACATATGATTTGATGTTGCTCCCATGCATAAGGGTGGGTGTCAAGGTCACCTGAAGGTCAGGTCAGGTCATTGACCTTTGGTGACCTCGGGTGACCTCGGTTCACTTTTTCGAGTTTTACATGTTTCTAGGCTAGTTTTTGGAGCTGAATTCGAATTTAGCAACCATTTGAACATTTACGAAGTAGTTTTGGTGCCTTCGTAACATGTTACGAAGCTGTCAGAGGCGGTTGACAGGTACTACGAACACCCGTCACAACCCCTACTGGTTGACCTGACCTGACCTGACCCGACCTGGTCTAAATGCTTAAAGACATCATCTGTGATCAAAACTAACACGATATTCGTGATCAGCACCCCGAAAAAAACCCTTAGCAGCCACACTTTACGACTTTCTAATAGGTCCCGATTTTCCCGACTTTGGGTCATTGACCTGACCTGGAAGGTCAACCAATGACCTAGGACCTTAAAATTGGGTATCATCGGCTTCCTCTCGTCACGGGCAACACGCTCGTTTTTTCCGCGAAGCTCTAGCTTGATCAGGGGCCAAACGGCAAGGGGGGGTCCAACCGACCCCCCCCCCACACACATTAGAAGCTGGCAAACGCCGCACACATGCGAGGGTTAAGACACGACTTGGAGCATCTGTTTGTCACTTGGCCTTGGAGTTTTAGGTTCTAGTGACCCGAGGCCAGGTCACAAGGTCACAAAAACTGGTACATTGTCAAAATAGCAAGAATACCGAATAAGAATACCTACCTACCACGCAGTTTGCGGAGGGCTGTACATGTAACTCTGGAACGAATCGCTCGAGCATCGCTAACCATAAATCATACGACAAAAGTTAACTTTGCAAACTATCATCTTTTTCCAATAACGGCACTGCTTATTTCGCCTCACCCCCGCCCCCCCCCCCCGCGGTAACAGGTTTTGAAATTGGTTGAACCTCAAAATAGTGGCTGGATTCGCCCTTGGGCAGGGGAGTAGCGAAAATTCTGCCCACCCAGTGAAAAATCCTTAGAGGAGGCCCTGGCCTGTAGCTCTCTTGCCTTTCCATTTTTCAATCAGCCGATAACATGCCAGCTACGTCCATCTATATGTACCTAAATGTATAAATGTACCTAATGTACATTGTACCTATGGCGCTCATGAACACTACCGATTCTTATGTGGATAAATGGCCACGAGTTTCGCCACCTATGCCTCGCACCGCACTGTATAAATGTGGTCATATTTATTCTTCTCTTAAAGGGGCGATCTGTTTTTAGTTTTGACGAAATGCTATGAGGAATGCCGAAATTAGCATGGGGATGTTTTGGTGAACGACGAAGGGATATTAACGAATGACGAAGCATTTATCCAAATCGTCAAAGGTTTTGCCGGAAGTCAATCAGTTATTGGCGAATAGCGAAGGCTATACCAGCTGACGAACTGTGGAGTGGGATCACATTCCGTTTCGCCCATATGCTGAAGGTTTTGCCGGAATGCCTCTCACTAACCCGGTTTACATAGCATATTTGACGAGGCTCTAGCTCGTTAATTTGGCGATAATTTCGTTGCAGTGGTCTTCAAATATTTAGAGGGGATAATTTTGTAACTTGTTAAGCACCATTGGCATCTTTTGCAACATCACGGACGGAAATATAAGCTTGCAACAAACCCTATGTAAACGCGTCTACTGGCGCCACCTGTGTGCTGATCGGACGAATGGGTTTTGCTGATTGGCCATCGAACAACGCAAATAGGTGTAGTATCTTTAACACACTGAACATGACAATGGCACCCGTGGCCGTGACCCCTTTTTATGCCCCTGAGGTCATCTCAGGTCACCCACCAATGGTATCTGATAGTTTTTCGCGAATAACTTTTATAGAGGCATGCTAGAGCGATGAAAACACCTTAGATGTGTTTGGCTCGACGATACGGATCGACTGATTTGCAACTTAACCCTTATCGGTCAGGTCATGACATTGACCTGAGGATTAATTTTCAACTTGACCTTTCAAGGTCGAATGATAGTTCATACGACGCGTCTTGACGAGAGGAACACGATGCTGGTAAAAGAAAGTTCGTCCAAGGTTTGAGTCAGAAGTTATTGCAGAAAAACTTTCCGAAAAAAAAATCAGGTATTTTGACAGTTTTTGCTTCCTGCAGGCAAAACCGTTGACGGTAGTTCAAATCTGAGAGGATTACTCAGAAAAAAACGTTAATAT